TCACGACGATCACTAAACATCTAAACCAGCAGATGCGAGGAGTGTTGTCGAAACGGATAGACGTTTACGTGACGCTCTATGTGGTCGGACACATAGGAAGCGTTGTGTCGAACACACAGTTCTCTTTCGAGCGCAAAAAATGACCTTTTCAGATGGGTACACCGATTTTGAATATTATTTATTAGTTCTAAAAATTCGTTATTTATTCTAAAGTCCCGTTCTCAAATCTTCGTATTGTCGAGCGACACGTCAAAAAAACCAATGAGATACGCACAAAATTCAAAATTGACAGCTGTTTGAATTTTGTACAAATCTCATTGGTCCTTTTAACGTGTCGCTGTTCTGAGAACGGGACAATTATATACGGGAAATATTATACTCTATTAATATAATATATATGTCTCAAAAGTGGCTCACCCTTATAACTTTTTATTTTTTCAGATAAAAAAACGAGATTTGGTATGTTAGTATATGACAAAAATTGGGATTGATTGACGCATTGAATTGTTTTTGGTCACTTCCCGTTTCACCGGAAATGACTACAACTTATGATTTTTAAATGGCACCCCCGGTATATTTTTATTTTATTCGGTTGAAAATGATATTCTGAATAGAATGACGTATCAGATGTCAACTTTTGACATTCTCGCTTAATAAAAAATTGTATTTTAAATTTCAATCTAGAGTGTCACGGCTATGTTAAAAACACTAATTCTTAATCAAGGAGCGTTGGAAAAATAGATTTGATCATCTAATGTTTTTAGTGTCTTGTCCTGGCCGATTAAAAAATGCCCAAATCGTATTTTTCATCATATCGCAACTTTTTCAAATTGCTAATGCTAAAAAAAATTGCTAATGCTTTTCAAAACGCTAATGAGCGGCTCATCAGAGTGTTATTTGATACCACACACTTGGTATTTCGAGTCAAATTTTCGTTACGAACCGCAAGTTATAATTTCAAATAAACCATAAGCGAAAATGTCAAAAGTTGACATATGACATGTCATTTTATTCAGAGTGTTATTTTCTCTCGAATAAAAGTAAAAAAATAACGAGGGTGCCATTTAAAAATTAAAAGTTATAAAGTGTCATTTCCGGCGAAACGGGAAGTGACCGAAAACAATTGAATACGTCAATCAATCCTAATTTATGTCATATACTAACATACCAAATCTCGTTTTTTTAACTGAAAAAATAAAAAAGTTATATGGGTGAGCCACTTTTGAGACGCACCATATGTTACAGCTAAAATGGATACTTGGCTAGTTTTCGAATTAGCCAGCTATTTTGCAAACAAACAGAACAACCAACACCGCAACTAACACATAACCCACAAAATAACAGTGCTTTTTGCAAAATAGCTGGCTAGTTTGAAAACTAGTCGAGTATCCATCAGTCCAAGTTTGATCGGTCTAAGGGGTGTAATTGTCCCCAAAATTACGCCTCCCCTAAAACCGCGCTTGGATTAACATGTTACTGCTGTTTTAAAATGTTAAAAAGCACAAACTTTAAAATCACCTTTTTCGTAGCATTCGACTAAGTAAATAAACTTTGTGCTTCTTTAATATATTAAAACAGCAAAAATATGACGTTAATCAAAATTAATAATATAACCAAAATAACCATCTATCAAACAATGAAAACCTTAAAATGATATTACCACAGAAACGCGTTTTGATTTTTGGAACTCCACTCTATTTTCATATTAATTTTTCCCTAAAAGGGTTTGGAAATTTGGGAAAGTATAAACGGGATTAGTTTTTTTTTCGGGAGCGGGATTTTTCCCAAATGTTAATAATAAAAACGTTTTTCCTCTTGTAAAAACAATCCGGGGACATACTGTATATTACTGTTTACCCGAAATCTATAAATATCATATTTTTGCAATTCTTTAACATTTCGAAGAATTTATCAGATTATTATAATGTTATTCTGTAAACGCAAAGCAAATTATTTTGTTTGTAAACTAGAACAACATTGTTGCTAAATGCCAATTTTAACACATTTAATCTTAGCAATTTGGATATTTTGCAACTTTATTCTTCATAAATGTCTTTCGCAATCCCCTGTTAACTACTAGTTTCATAAATAATTGTTAGTCGCCTTTCGACGAAAAACAAACATATCTACAGCAACGACTATAAATTATTTAAAAATTAACTAAATATGTAGATATAAAATATTTCGTTCCATTTAGTTTTCTTAAGATTTTTAGTTTAATTCACTTCTATGATACAAATAAGAATAAGTCACAAAAGATTTCTACTATTATTTTTAAGAAATAAAACAATAATAATTTTTAATTTGAACGATTTTAACGATATATACAGGATGAGTCTTAAATTAGTGCAAATATTTTCAGAGCTGGTAGATCTCGATAAAAGAAACATATTTTATCTTTACCGTTTTTCAAATAAGTCCAAAATAACCAAGTTATTTTACTTATATATATATATATAAGTATATATATATATTATATATATATATATATATATATATATATATATATATATATATATATATATATATATATATATATATATATATATATATATATATATATATATATATATATATATATATATATATTATATAAATTTCAAAAAAAAAATTTTTTGCTTATATTTTGACAACCACTGGATCATTTCTGGATTTTCTTTCTTGATATTTGCACTTATTTAAGACTCACTCTGTATATCGACGACTTTACAAATAAAAGGAAATAATAATGCAAATGAGATGCAAAAAAGGAACATATAATATGTTTTTTAAAATTATATGGGAAATGCCATTGATCGTCATTTCAAAGCCAACTGGGCGCCATTTTTTTTTATCATACGGTATTTAAGTACACTAGATACCAGTGGCGGCTCGTCAGGTTCAGTAGGTGAAGGGGCACACTAAAACGCTAGATTCTATAAGCTATTTTAATGATAATGTTCGTTTAAATAGACTTTGTTTACGGGTAGTTATTCAAGCAGTCTTATATGTAAGCAAGCAAGAGTTGCCTTTTCGTGGGCATGATGAAAGGATTGACTCAGTGAACAGAGGAAATTTTAAGGAGTTATTTAAACCACAGATTAGGTATCCTATAAGTATACAGATACAAATCTTGTCCCTAATTCGTGGTACAAATTTTTTTTTATGACGATGTGCAAACGAGTAAAATTTCCTGTGCGCAAAAATAAACTCGCGTAAAATAACAATAAACAGCGTAATAGAGAGATATCGCTAAACCGAATAGCGTGCATGGAAGTTAATAAGGCCAGGTGTTATTTCCTTTACGTGAGGTGGTATTAACCATGTATTAACTCTCTTCATTCATTTATAGTTATCGGATCGGAAAGAATTCTGTTCGCGTCGCGTCCGCTATTTAAACTTAACCTAATTTTGAATTTAAAACTTTGAAATTGTTTTGTTTACTAGGTATTTTAAAACTAAAGGGCTAAAGTGCTTATTTCCAGTGCTTTATTGTTCAACTTCTGCCAGTGGGTTTAGGGCAACAAGCAACAAATTCTCTTAGAAGGGCTAAGTCGTAATCTGCTGTAAAGCTAAGCCTCTTTATAGGTTCTTTAATATTGGAAGAGATGGAATCCATATTTTGGGCCATATTTATTTAATTAAAACTAATCCCAGCTACTTAAATATCAAATTACCTAATAAAACTAAAGTAATAATTCAAAACAATTCAAACATAACCTAAAATAAAAGATCTCGCCGCGCGCCGGCCGACCCCGGTGGTCAAATACCCCCGCACATGCCCATTTAAGCAATTTTTAAAAGTTATTTAGAAATAGCGCTTGGTGTAATTGATCCGCAAATTACATCAGGCGGTAACGTTATTAGCGGGTGTTGCGTTAAAAATTGACTCGCGCATATCGTAACCATGATAAGGTACGCGTAAATACTGCATGACGCTATTCGGTTTTCCGTTATCTCTCTTAACTGTGCCTTAACTGTGCCGGTCAGGCGCTGTGCACAATTTTAGAGGCCATAAGTGGGCGTGCTTTGTGCGCAAACTAGTAACCTAACTAGTGCCCGATTCCGAAAATTGGAACCACCAAGATCTGTATAATCTGTGTTTAAACATTATATTTAATAAGTTATTAACATTATGAAAAAATTAAAAACGTTTTTGGTGGAGATTCGAAAAGCATTCGAACGAAATAATTGAGTGCATTGCTAATCACATAAATGATTCAATGCCATTCAATAATTACAGTGTCCGCCATAAAGTTGGATCCATATGGACGGTTTTGTTTTGGTATTAAAGTTTAAAAAAAACTTTTTGTGACAATCAATTCTGCTTTAAAAACAACTTAAAATGCACCAAGTCAAAGTTGAAACATAATTTTGTTAGGCACCTTTTTTAAAATAATAATAATTTAACCAATTTTTAAAAATTCCTTTTAAATATTTTGTATTTGACAGCTCCCAGATGTTAGCTTTTAACTTTGACTTGGTGCATTTTAAGTTGTTCTCAAAGCAGAAGTGATTGCCACAAAAAGATTTTTTAAAACTCTAATATAAAAAAACGTCCCATATGGATCCAACAACTTTATGGTGGACACTGTATATAATGTTTTATTATATTTAATTTAAATTTAATTATATTTTCACTGGAATGCAAAACAATGTGTTTATCGAAAACTGGTTGTATCTCTTTTTACTTAATGCGTTTTAGCCCAAACTAAAAGGGAAATATGGTAGGTATTAGGTGGTATTAGTGTATTAATAATAACAAAAAAAAAATGTTGGCAAAATGGTGAATGCACCAAAAAATTTTCGAATATTAATTTAAAAAATGTTGGCAAAATGGTGATTGCGCCAAAAAAATATTCGCCTGCGCCGCAATTCAAAAAAATAACTCTTCACCTAATTTTATACACATGAGCCGCCACTGCTAGATACTACACTAAATATTATAATACTCTGGAAACATATCGTACAAAATCAGCTAAGCAAAAATGTATGACTTATAGATCATGTTATTGTTTTAGAACCAATTTACCAAAGGAAGTTATGGGATTCCCAGATTTCCCAATTCCGGACCAAGAAAAATCTTATCTAAGTCAAGCAGAAATTCTAGATTTCCTCAATCTCTATGCGGATAGGTTTGAATTGAAGAAGTACATCAAGGTAACTCAGCTTCTGAGCATCAAATATTTTTTTCAAATCTAACTCAGTTAATGAATGATTTCATTTTAACTATTATATGTTATCTGTGGTATTGCGCTATACCGGGTGCTCTCCAAAGTGGCTCACTCCTATAACTTTTTTATTTTTTCAGATAAAAAAACTAGATTTGGTATGTTAGTATATGACATAAATTAGTTTCCTGTTTTACCGGAAATGACTACAAAATGGCACCCTCGGTATTTTTTTTACTTTATTCGATGGGACATGACATTCTGAATCGAATGACATATCATATGTCTACTTTTGACATTCTCGGTTAATAAAAAATTGTATTTTAAAATTCAATCTAGAGTGTCAAGGCTATGTTAAAAACACTAATTTTTCATTCAAGAAGACTTGGAAAAATAGATTTGATGGTCTAATTTTTTAGTGTCTTGTCCTGGCCAGTTAGAAAATGCTCAAATCGTATTTTTAATCATATCTCATTTTTTTTCAAATGGAACGAGGGTGGCTCATTAGCATATTTGGAAAAAGCATTTTTTTACGAATAATTTGATACCACACACTTGGTATTTCGAGTCAAATTTTCGTTACAAACCGCAAGTTATAATTTCAAATAAACCATATGCGAAAATGCCAAAAGTTGACATATGATATGTCATTCTATTCAGAGTGTCATTTTCTATAGAATAAAGTAAAAAAATACCGGAGGTGTCATTTAAAAATCAAAAGTTGTAGTCATTTCCGGTAAAACCTTTTCGGTCACGTACGGTTTTACCGTACGTTCATTCTATTCAGAATATCATTTTCAACCGAATAAAATAAAAATATACCGGGGGTGTCATTTAAAAATCATAAGTTGTAGTCATTTCCGGTGAAACGGGAAGTGACCAAAAACAATTGAATACGTCAATCAATCTCAATTTATGTCATATACTAACATACTAAATCTCGTTTTTTAACTAAAAAAATAAAAAAGTTATAGGGGTGAGCCACTTTTGAGACACACCCGGAATAGGTACTCATTTAATAATTAGTTAAAAGTAATTAATAAAACAATTATTAATAATATAAAATACGTGTATTAGTCCATTAAACATGCCTTAATTTTTCAGTTTAATACTATAGTAATGGATATTCGACCACAAAATGAGTCCTGGAAAATTACGTGTATCGAAAAACCAACAGGAAAGGTATACGATAACATTTATGATGCGATCATGATATGCAATGGTCACTATAATGATCCCATTGTACCAAAACTCCCAGGTTTGTTATAAGATTTTATAACTTAAAAGTATTTTTCTTTTACAAAATTTAATAAAACTAAAACACTATAACATTCTACAGTATGACTAAAAAATTGAAATGCTATGAAATGAAGATCGCTGTCGTTTTATATAGAAAATTGTATGAGAAATACCATCGATCGTTATTTCCAAGCCAACTGGATAACGTTTTTTTCGATCATACGGTATTAGTTATAAACCGTCGTATAACTAATTATTATTAGTATTAGCAAAACAAAAGTTGATCCAAAGTTGAAACACAAAAAAAACAACAAAGTTGTTGCTATTGTATTAACAAAGTTGACTATTGTCCAACAAGACTATACATGACAGTGACAGACTAATAATTTTAATTTTTAATTCGCAGAAATAAAAAATATAAAATAAAACCCAAAAAAATGGAGGAAAATAATATGATATAATTTTAATTGTAGGACAAGAGTTATTTACTGGTACCATAGATCACAGTCATAATTTCCGCGATCCCGAAAGGTTTAGAGGAAAGAAGGTACTTGTTGTTGGAGCTGGGCCTTCTGGACTTGACATAACTCTACAAATATCTACTGTAGCTGAAAATGTAATATTTTTCTATAATTATTTGATATGGAGACTATCTGTTTTTTTTTTCATTTCAGGTGGTACTTAGTCACCGTGTTCCTGACCCTATTAAAACTCAATATCCAGAAAACGTGCAACTGAAGCCTGATGTACAACGTATCCTTAACTTCAACAAGGTAATATAGTATGTTTACTCTAGATATAGTATAGATATCTATATATAGATTAAACTACAATTAAACATACTCAGTAACTTTTCCCAAAGTCACAAAATGTTTGACTTGTTAATAATTGTTAGGTTCGCAATAACATGTAAAAATATGATGTTAAGTGTTAAGTATCAAATCATACAAAAGCTCGGCGTCAGAGATGGCTTGGAAATGAAGATCGCTGTCATTTTGTACATAAAATTATATGGGGAATAATATTGATCGTCATTTGCAAGCCAACTGGACGCCACTTTTTTTAACGTAATGGCTAGATGCAATATCTTACACAAAAATATTACCGTTGATTGAAGAAATAAGAAGATGCGCAACTGCGCAACCTTATCGGCATTTTCGTGGCCCAAAATATGTCCGAGATGTAGCTGGCGTTATCGTTAGGATGTCCGAGATTTAGTTTAGCTCTGCGCCACTACGCGCTGATAGTCGTTTACAGCGCGGCGGATAAAAAATACTGTACCGTAGTTCTGCTTTCAGTCAACAGAGTGGATGGTTGCCAGAGACAATGTTGCCAGAACTACGGATTAATCTGTAGATTTACGAATTTTGGGTACAGTACGTTAATAATACGGATTTTATTAAACAACTTCTTTCAGGTGCCCGGTGGCGTAGAGGTACAGCTCTCGCCTACCAATCTCAAGGTTGTGGGTTCGAATCATACACCCGGCATTGCATCAGCCGATTTTAATAAAATAAAAATAGTTTGGGTACCTAGGTCGATTCAGCCTGAAATGAGTACTTGGGATTCACAATCCTGAGGTAATAATAGGCGGTTGAAGCGTAGTGCTAGACACATTACCTTCCTTGTATACCGAACGGCTCTAGCATGGCAAGCTGTACCTTGCTACTCCCAAGGCGTTAAACGCTACATACCGGGGTGGATTATTATTATTATTAAACAATTTAAAATAATATTATATGATTAATCAAAGAACGGCGTCAGAGTTGGCTTCGAAATGAACATTGCTGATATTTCATATGTAAAATAATATGGTAAATGTCAATAATCCTCATTTCCAAGCCAACTAAATGACTTTTTTTCGATCATACGTAATATTCAGTACCTGTAAGAGAATTTTTATTGTTTTGTTTATTCTATGTTTAACACATATAAATGTTCAGTGCATAAACGCAGATTTTTCATCCAAAGATATTTTCATTAAACGTATTACAGATATTACACACTTTAATATGACAGCACTGTCGCTTTCAGTTCCACACCATATTCGATATGCCTTCGCTGGCCGAATTAGAGAAAATAAGTGTTGTATTCGCATAACAAATGGCGGCTCCACCGTACAACACGGGGGAAATCAAATCAGCCTTACCACGAATTCGCCCGTTAGGTTGCGTATCTTACCAATTCTTTCAAACAACGATATTACACAAATCTGTAAATTCCATTTGTTGCATTAATACATAGGGTGACTTTTTGGAAAGTACCTAGAGGATCGGCGTTATCTACTAGACATAAAGATTTATGACAAATAGAAATTGCTTACTTTTAAACACCAATATATCAGAAACTTTTCGTAAAACATAAGATCGTCCACTAATTACTAGAGATCAGCAAAACATCGCGAACTGCGATTCAATCGTGGCGATTCTAAATTCGCAATCGCAACCTCCGATAGTAAACTGCGACTGCGATATTTTTTACCTGCTGGTTTCAATTTTTAGGCAACCAGTATTAAATTTAAAGAAGGCGTCCATTTTTATCAAAGAGACCTAATTTTTGAAATTAGACAGTATAGAAACTCCGATGCTTTGAGTCTTTTTCCTTTCTAACCAATATTAATATTAATATAGTTGCGATTTGCGATTATTTGCAAATGAGATTTTGTGGCCTAATTAAGCTTTTGGTAGTAAACTGCGATTGTATCTTCTCTCTGATATTGTTTATTTATAGAGAAGATATTATTTTCTAGGTTCAAGATCATAACATATGTAGTACAATATTAAAATAACAATAAAAACCGTAAATATTAAAATCGCAATCGCAGTTTTACTCATCTCTACTAATTACTACTACGATGAACCATATAAAGCAGATTCCGATTATTGTTGGCGAGGCAAAGAGTAGATACTAGTTTTAATAGTAATTACCTACTAAAGAGTAGTAAGTTCTATTGATGGGGGCTACCCTCGATTTTTTTGTGAAACATATTTCTAGTCCATTTCAGACCAAATAGCGGTCATAGAAAAAATCAAATAAATTGTTAACAAATTCTTTTTTTTCAGGTGGAATTTATAGACGGATCTTGTTGTTGTTTCGACGAAATATTATTCTGCACCGGTTACAAGTACAGCTTTCCATTCCTTCACGATTCTTGCGGTATCACCGTTGACGATAATCACATTCAACCTCTATATAAGCACATGATACACATCCAGAGGCCCACCATGTGTTTCATTGGTATACCTTTTAATGTGTGCGCCTTCCAAATGTTCGATTTACAGGTACATTACATATTAGTATTATCCTTTTATATGTATGCAGGGTGCTACAAATTCTGTATTGGTATCTCTGAAACCGTAATAGATACGAGGATGGATAAATTGGGGCAAAGATACGCCTTGGGACGTTCACCAAGAACCAAGATGCCATCAAAAAAGTTTTAAAAATTTCAAGGATTGCTAATAAGTTTTTTGGAAAAATGGATTTTTTTGAAAATCAATTTTATTTTTTCCTGTCGTTACTTTTTAGAAAATCAAAAAACTAATTGCACATTCTCATAGCCACTTTATTAGGGCTATCTGATAGTATTTTTAGATTTTCAAATTAGCTGATAATTTGTGAGATAGAGAAGCCAACCTAATTTTTTTAAATACGGATCTGCGTTTTTTTTATTTCAGGTTTTGAAAGAACTCGATCTCTTGAGTACACTGATGTGCCACACATATTTTTTTTTGTTTTGGGTACCTTAACAACAACACTATTTAATTATTTTTTCCATAGCAACTGTTAAAATTGCCTTATATCTATCAAAAATAGTAGATAAAATAGTACTTTAACCGCAAGGGTAGATTAAATGATACTTTAAGAGCGAGGATAGGTTAAAAATAGGTAATAGGTTTTTCTTCTAATACGGTTCTTAATTGCTTCCAATTTTGAAAATTTTTGTATTCCTTTTCATAAGTTATTCGGGATTTAAATGGAAGAAGTTTGGATATGGCGTTTGTCGCCTCAGCCTGAATATCTGTTGGTAATTTACTTATTTCGTTTTGAGCCATTTCTGGCCCCAATTCAATCAGCAATCGACACGAAAGGGAATTAAAAAATATTGACTCAAAACTGACAACTAAAGATACAGCTTTATTTATTTGTCAAATTACATAGAAACCAACGCCAACCCAGCACAATATTTTTTCTATTCGTAAGAAATTCCTTGAAATAATAATTTCTGAATATTTTTTAAAACGTAACTCGCTATGGAAAGAGATATTGTTTTATACACGACGATAAAATTGCATTATCGTCTCCCGAAATTACTTCACTCGCGATTTCATCGCTCATGAATTAATCTTTTCAGTCAACGATAAAATACGATTTTATCATCTTGTATAAAAAATAACTATTTTTAAAATAATTTCAAGTCCGACTCTGGTTTTTTAAATGATTTAATATGATTATATTCATCGCAACAATATTGATCAGCGCTAATTAATACTGAATTAGGAAAATCGAGCCAATTGAAAGATTCAAATAAATCATATCCAGGTCAGCAATTTAGAGATATTATTTTTTCTTTTATTTATATTCCCCATATAATTTTAAAATAAAATGCCAGTGATCGTCATTGCCAGACCAACTCTTACGCTTTTGTCACATTTAAAATATCTAAGTTGGCATTTATTCATTTTACTAAATCAGTTGAAGTAGTTCCTGGAAATAGATACCTCCCGTATATTAATAATTCGAGTATTATAACACAATAATACAATAATTCTATTTTACGAATATTGCAGGCTAGGTACTTCTGTAAGTACCTTGACAAGTCAATGCAACTGCCGCCTACTAAGGAAATGGAAATACACACCGAAACAGATATTGAATTCCGCAAATCCAAGGGATATACAAAGAGGCAAATGCATATGATGGGTTCCTACCAGGAAACGTACTACAATGATTTAGCTGCCGATGCCAAAACTACCCCTATTGCACCCGTTTTAGTAAAGCTCAGAGATCTAAGCGTCAAAAGATTATACGACGATTTACTGAACTTTAGAGAAGATAAGTACAAAATTGTAGATGAACAGAATTTTGTGAAGGTGTTAAATTAGGCTTAAGTAGATGAATTTAAACTTGATGGTTGGTTACTTTCACTATTATAATCACTTGCTTATTGATTTTGAAGAAAATCAATAAGGTGTTTATAATATTGAAAACATATCCAATTATTATTGTTATTCATTAATATTATATATGTAAAAGGGTGTATTAATATTACTTTGTTTAATAAATATTTATTGCTTTTATACATAACTTATGGATATAATAAAATATTATTTATCAAAATAGTTACTCTCCATATCTCCTATAGTTCATAAAATAAAAATTTTTAGAACGTACAAACAAATATATTTATTCGTAAAGTCAGAAATATACTTTGAAATAATTACATAAATTAATACCGTAGGATGGAAACAACGACGTCAGCGATGGCTATGAAATAAAGATCGCTGTCATTTTATATGTAAAATTATATGGGGAATGTCATCGATGTTCGTTTCCAAGCCAACTGGACGCCGTTTTTTTCGATCATACGGTACATATAAGTATATAATGAATAACATCCATTATTTCATTAAAAAATTAACAAAACTGGCATATCGTACAAAAAAAATTAAAACGTATGTACATAAATTAAGTACATAAAATACATCTATAAAGTTTACTATGTATTATGGCTGAATATAATACTGAAACAAAAAAGAGAATACCTTTGATGAGCACCAAATTCGGTGTAAAGTTTATTTAATAAGCTGGAAGTAGTTAGTCGTTGTGATTATCTGATGAATCATGATGAAGTTTTCTTCTCAAATATGGTATCCTTTCCAGTATGGACAACAAAATATTGCCAGGTATCCTTTGATGTGTTGCTATTAGATCTTGCAGAGAACTTAAAACCTTGTAAACAAATGCTCTAGTAAAAATAAAGAAAGATATTGTAATCGCATAACATTTTCTGATGCACGTCATCAATCATATCGATATTGACACTAAAGTGTCAATACTAAATGTTGTCACCTAACTAAATGAAATTTTGGCAAAAATGTTTAAATTTGTTGTATAATTTAATATACCGAGCAGCTCTTCATTTTACTTTATAGAGCAAATGATTGTAACAGATATTTTATGTACATTAAAGCTGCAAAAATTAGTTTAAACCGAATTTTATTATCGCTATCGCTATGTTGGTCACATTGCGCCGGTTTCAGCAAGGTTGTCGTTTATTATTTGACAATGATCCTAATGTCAGTAATTATTTTGTAAAATATCGTATTGTTGTCGAATCTTTGTGAGTAATTCTCGTTTTTTGCCTATTTTCATAGTCTTTTTTTAAAAATTGTACTTTCAAGCAGAAACAGTTCTTTTAAGAACTAAATTTTCCAATTTTTGTATTGCATTTCTTGAAATTGTGTGTTGAAAATATGCCGAAGCATTTAAACAGTCGAAGCAAAGAGCTTGTAGCTTCCCTGATAAACTATTTTGAAGGCGAACGTGAGAATAAAGGGCCTTTATTACACTTGACTGCGGTCAGAGAAGTAAGTTTGATTGATAAGCACATTTTATTAAATTCTGTGATTGTTAGTTTCTGCACTAATAGCACCCTCTTACTTGTTATTAAAACTTATGGCGTTGTAAGACGTAGATCAATAAATAAATAATTAACCCATAATAACGCTTAGGATAATCTTCATAATGGACTAGTGTTTGCCAATATGTAATAAGAAAAAGAAGCTATAAAACAAATAAATCAATTAATTACTAAAATAATAGTTATTAAATTAAAAATAAAAGTAAAAATCTGTAAAAAATTATAAAAGAAAATATTGTTTGTCACTTTTAAATTAAGATTCATCTCATAAATCCATCACAATCTGGCAGCCCTGTCGCCATCGTTTGTCACTCAAAGTTGATCACGTGCAGCGGAAATTGTTTTGCGATTACCATAGGTGTCCATATAATGTATATTACCACAGATAACACATAATCCAGATGGCTCCTTACCATAGACTTAAAATAAAATATAGACTACACTATTTACATCTCAACGCGGACAAACAACCTTTTTTGTACACATGTTTACTTCTGGGTACAGTCGACCGAGCCTTCCTCATCCAGCCTATGTTGTCACGTCTTTAATATTATCAATATTTTTTTTCTTGTTATACACATATATTGAGATATTAATACTACAGTTTAATAAAGTAGGTTTTAATATTCCATAGATGTATTAAATAGTCCTTATACTACTAAATTATAAGTCGGATACTGTTTAAAAAGGATAAGTTCTTTACAATATGATAACACCGATTAGAGGCGAGGGAGCCTATTCATTCATTTATTACCTTGTAGTACGCGTGGCAAGTGTGCGGTAAAGCTTTGATGCCGCTATGTCCCCGGCTGTATTAACGCATTTTCTTAGTTTGTAGTCCTTAAGTGTTTATTTTATTGACTTTTTCTGTTCAAGAACTATAAAATATGGTTCGCCAGTGCCAAATTTGCAAGAAATTTGACTTAAATAATCCATTTAAGTCTTGAAACGACTTTCGACCGGTAGACAACTCTCAATTTGCCCATTGGGAGCCAGTGGCGTTGTTGTAGAAAGGCGCTTATTTAGATAATATTTTAGTAAAATGTAAAATCTGAATTTTTTCTCATTACATTATTTACTTACTTACATTGTAACAAAGTCATAATTATAACCCTGTTAATAATTAATAATGATTTTATTAAAAATATGGTTTATTCTAAAATTATCTTGAGCATATAAAATAACATACAAGAATTTTAAATTGATATTACATTATGAAACAATATTTTTTAATATACCGGGTCGTCTCAAAAGTGGCTCACCCCCTATAACTTTTTTATTTTTTCAGATAAAAAAAACAGATTTGTATGTTATAGGTATATGACATAAATTAGGATTTATTGATGTATTCAGTTGTTTTTGGTCTCTTCCTGTTTCACCGAAATGATTACATCTTTTTATTTTTAAAGGCAACCTCGGTATATTGCTACTTTATTCGATAAAAAATGACACTCTGAATAGAATGACATATCATATGTCAACTTTTGACATTGTCGCTTAAAAACAAATCGTATTTTAAATTTCAATCCAGGGTGCCATGGTGTTGTTAAAAACACTAAGTTTTAATCAAGGAGCCTTGGAAAAATAGTTTTGATCGTCTAATAGGTTTCGTGTCTTGTCTAAGCCGGTTAAAAGATGTACAAATCGTATTTTTAATCATACATATGTCAATTTTTTCAAATGGAACAAGGGTGACTCATTAGCATATTTGGAAAAAGCATTTTTTTATGAATATATTGATACCACACACTTGGTATTTCGAGTCAAATTGTCGCTATGTGAACCGCGTGTTACAATTACAATTAAACCATATGCGAAAATGTCAAAAGTTGACATATGATATATCATTCTATTCAGAGTGTCATTTTCTATCGAATAAAGTAGAAATATACCGAGGGTGCCGTTTAAAAATTAAAAGTTATAGTCATTTCCGGTGAAACAGGAAGTGACCAAAAACAATTGAATGCGTCAATCAATCCTAATTTATTTCATATACTAACATACTAAATCTTGTTTTTTTATTTGAAAATATAAAAAAATTATGGGGGATGAGCCACTTTTGAGACGCACCCGGTATAATAAAGACAGTACCGAGTTAAATAAATGTAGTTTTTATTTTATCACCTTCCTTGCTTTAATGGAACAGATTTATGTTTTCTCTAATTTACATAATAAGACATCACTTAACCAGAAACAAAATTACAACAATCATATTTTTTTTTCTCTCCCTGTCGCCGATTCTATTATATCTGTGGAATAGATCCTGTTTTGATTAATATTAGGGGTTGTAAATGTTTGACTAAAATTAATAATTTATTATTAATTTCAAAAATTACCTAATTTCAATTATAAAATTTCTTCTATAACGTGTATTTTATTATTTTTATCCTTTTTGGACTCTAAATTGTTTTTTCTAAACTTATATTTAAAAAACCTGTCCTAAATCTTAATAAAATATAAAAAAGTTTAAATACGATATATTTTTAATTTAATTATAGCTTCATTAAAATAAAAAAATTACCCGGCTATGATACGGAGAGTTCAGGTGTACTTGAGAAACGAAAGTTTGTGTTGTGTTTCTCGGCAGAGTCGTCAGGGAACGACCGTTACGACAGAGACAACCTATCTATCGCTCGTGTCGCACTCGTTATAATCTAAAACAATAACACAACAATAACAAGACAGTGTCTGACCGCATGTTCCAGCTATTTATGAATGAGATGCTCAGTCTATATTTTATTTTAAGTCTATGCTCCTTACGTGTTAAAAATTGTCACCCTAATTTCACTCCAATTTGGAAAAATATTGGAGTGACATTTGAATAATCTGAAATTTTCAGATATCTTTTCTCACTTTTTTGGGAGGTTTTGCTTCTCTTGCACAGATGTCGCTTGCACTTCAGTTGCGTGGTTGCCAAACGTTATATCGAAATATATTTCAATTCATTATGAATATATAAAATTAAAGGTATACCAAATTAAAAATTATGTAATTTATAAACATGAAATAGATATGTTAAATTAATATATAAATATTTAACTTAATACGTTCATTATTATTTTATTAATTTATCGTCACACGTCATTTACCAGTTGCCTAATTACGAAAAGTTTCATATGACATTAACCTCAAAAATGATCTTTGAAAACAAACAAGAACAAACAGAGCTCTGAACAGTGTTGTTACAATAGGTACAATTGTACTATTTTGGGTACATTTGATAGTCAAGGAGTACATAGGTACAATTGCAAGAAAAAATGTACAATTCTTACTTCTCAAACCCAAACTAACCCAAACTTAAACTCACGTACATATTTTTAGACGAACGGTGATACGCGATGCGTGGATTTGAAATGCAGGTTGCTAGGAGCAGAGGCACAGAATTATACATCACATGAAATGCTGTTCAAGCCGCACGGATGTCAAACGTAAGTTTGATATCCATGCGGTGAGTAGGAGGGGGGCTAATCACTGCGACCTTAGAGATCTATTGTGTCCCGATGTCAAGCCAGTCCCGCGGAGCCAATTCTGAACTTTATGACTCAATTGAATGGAGGGAGAGTATCTCGTTCTTGAACAGTTCAGAGCTGCTCAACTGCGTGAAAGGAGGACAGCATATGGTGTATAATTCTGTGAGGGTGCATCCATATTATCCTAAAAAAAGCGGATCTGCGGCGGTGTATCGGCGTAACGACCTTGAATCGATTCCCAGAAATTCTATTGGCTGAAAAATTCATCAGTCAGAAATTTTATCTGTCAAATTCACCTGGCAAAAATTTCAGCCAATAGAATTGCAGGAAATCGATTCAAGGTCGTTAAGCCAATACGCCGTTCCGCTGTTTTTAGGATAGTGTGGATGCACCCTACGTACCAAAACTTAGTAAAAAGGTAAATAGAGAGATCACATGACCCCACATTTTTGCACCAAAAATGTACAATCCCACTTAAAAAAGTACAATTTCGACACCATTTATAGTACAAAAATTTTTGCCCTTGTAACAACGCTGGCTCTGAACAGAGCAACAAATGAACAAATAACTACATAATGACTGATAATGATAAGTGATCATAATAACTTTAATGATATGAAGGCTGATGAAGGTAATTATAAACATTATTTTGAGTTTGTTTAATAAAATATAGGATACAATATAACTAAGCAAAATCAAACAGTTTTAGACAACCAATACAAGATTTTAGAACTTGACATCGTGATAAACAAATTGTACATTCAGGAACTCGTTTAAATATTATAGGTAAGTAATATTTTCACAAAACTAAACATTTTAGCATAAAATCACAGATAATATATAGAATATTACCTATGATAAAATGTTAAATACTGATGTATAATACCTATGATAAAATGTTAAATACTGATGTATATTTATTCTAATCACATTTAAATTTTAACTCAAAATTTTCATAAAAAGAAAATGATAATTTTTCGTAAATATAAAGTAGTAAATAATATTACATATTTCAGGTTGATTGACGAATACTCTACAGTTGATTAGAGCCCATGATGATGCGAAGATAATTAATATCACCTAACTTCAAGAAACCAACGTAAAGAAGTTTACATTCATAACTCATCTAACCATTATAGGTAATCATTTACAAAATTAGTCATTTTTGATTATAATATTAAGGTACTTAGGTACATTTTTATCTTCTAGATCAGTAATGTCGTCATAATTTAAATGAACTCACAGATAGCAATGGGGCACTGCACCGAAGCAGTATTAGAAAATATGTGAAATAAAACTGTAATACAAATTGCTCTATAAAATTTAATAGAAATAAATTTATTTATGAAAATTAAGTTATGAAGTTTTATTTTTCCTAGGAAAAAAATAACATTTATATTTTGATCAATTTAGAACATTACAGTTAAAAAAATATGTGTTAGAATAACATATTTTTAATAAAATTGCAGCTTTTAATTTTTATACTTTTTTGCTTTTATATCAATAAGAACTAACGTAAGGAACAATTCATATTTATACTATGAAAACACATGCATATTTTTTGATGTTTTTAAAACCAGTGAATGATGTTGAAATATACTACACCTATTATTCTTATTAACTAACTTTAATTACAAACTTACACATTATTGTCATTGGAAATAAATTAATTTGGATATTCTATTTGTTTAGAAACTTTTTTACCTATTGTAGTTTTTTTAAAACCTACTTGATTTAAAACAAAAAAATGTCACCTGTTGTGACAAAATAAGGTCTTTTTTACTAGAAAACAATCTAGTGAGCTTTTCTAATAATACTTTATTTGATATAAAAAAAAACGGCGTCAGCGATGGCTATGAAATGAAGATCGCTGTCATTTTAAATGTAAATTTATATGGGAAATGTCATCGATTGCCATTTCCCAGCCAACTGGACGCCGTTTTTTTTTCGATCATGCGGTATAATATGTATTCCCATCTGTTAATCTTTTTATTTTAAGGAAGATTTAGGAAGGGTAGCTTAAAACATGTTTGTCGATCAATTATCTTTATATGTCGTTTGTAAAAATATTTTACAGTAGTAGAAAATAAAACTGTTTTTAAGGCGAACAGCTTCTTTGCTAAAATATTTTTTTGGTCCCAATACATAATGATTTACATTTTATTTTTAACTTCAAATAATGAATTTAATGGAAAAATTGCAAGTCATAAAAACGTTCTAAATATACAAATCTAACCATTTTTTCCATACCGTTGCTCCAGTTTTTTGTCAAATTAACGAATATTAGAAATAGTTTATTTCAACCTCTTCAGCTTATTTTAAAAATGTTGACAAATAACAAAGAATACACCCCTTAAAGTTTCGCATTTGTCTTGATATACTCTGTATAAGACAACAGTAAATAACTTGTAATATAACTTCGAAATATAAATTTGAAATTAAAATAATGATTTGTTATAGTGATTTACGTTTTATTAATTTTGATTTTTTTTTCTTAAATTTAATTTAAAAGTGATTTACGTTATTTATTAATTGAAACGTTTAAAATTTGAATATACGTTCAAATTTTTTTTTTACAATAAATTTGTTTATGATAAATAATTTTATAATAAAAATAAGACCGAATTTCCTGGAAAGTTTGCCAAATTTGTACATATGAAAACCTAGCTTTACCACTTATCACAGAAAATCTCTATTCCTTCCCTTATCACAGAATAATACAGGAACGAACCATATGCGACAAGGATAGAATATTTAGATATGTCGTTACTGTTTTTTGTTTTTAATGGATATTTTAAAAGCCGGGTAATATATGGTAATCTGTGATGGTAATATACTATATACCTTTGACTGTCTTTGATTACAACTGTGTGATTAGTGATAATTATTATTAAAATATCTGGTAATAAGTGTCAATTTTACAATTGTGAGATTTCTCGGAAATCAGGTGTACATGTGTTTAAGTTTCATGCGTCAAGAGATCCTAATTTATGTACAAAGTGGATAGAAAATTGTGAGTTCATTCATATAGAATTTTTTTGCACATTTTGTATGTAAAAATACGGCGTTAAGTTACCTTAGAAATGGTGATCGATGGCTTTTACCATATACCGTATGATCGAAAAAAAAACGGCGTCAGCGATGGCTATGAAATGAAGATCGCTGTCATTTGATATGTAAAATTATATGGGGAATGTCATCGATCGTCATTTCCAAACCAATCGGACGCCGTTTTTTTTTCGATCGTAGGGTATAATTTAACACATTAAGAGTTGTCCATCGTTATATTTCTATATCTATGCAAAGTTTACGATGGATAAATCAAGTAATATTAAGTGGATACAAATTATAAATGAATCAGTGAATATAAACTGTTATAAATTATAAGTAGGTAATGCAGTTAGTGAATATACCGTACGATAGAAAAAAAAGGCATGGGAGTGGGCTTGGAAATGAAGATCGCTGTCGTTTAATAGGTATGTAAAATTATATGATAAATCTTATCGATTGTCACTTCCAAATCAACATGACATGCATCTGTACATCATTAATCTCACGACTAGAGTTTCCTGAAATCCCGAACTCCCAGGATCCCGGCGGCGTGTATGTTTATCTCCGAAATCCCGATATTAAATTCCGGGATCCCGAAAATCCCATAAAATTTAAATGTCCAATCTAAAATGATTCGACTTTATACACCTTTCAAAGATCAACAAAACAAAGTAAAATTCATATTTAGTAAGTAAAAAAATGCAGTTTCAGACAATAGTTTGGTTTGGTTTGGTCGAGTTTTGTTAACACTGTCTAGTCTGGGCTTTTTTATTTGATATATGTTAATCAAATAAAAAAGCCCAGACTATATAAAATCAGGAGCTAACTCATAGAATCATATCAATTCTCTCTGATGTAGGATAAGTTTCTATCTTCGGAAAATTTCTTAGATTTTTTTTTGTTTCAACTGACGAACTGACACAAAATGATAACTAGTTGCTAAAGTTGAACTAATTTGACAGCTATGTTGAAGTAACGTCAGACATATCACAGCCACCCTAGATTTTATCAAATAATAAAGATCTATTCACACTAAATCATAGAAATGAAAATATCTAGGAAAATCTTTGTTTGAGGGGTAGGCCGGCAACCTTAATAGTATTTGGAAGTGACATGAATTTCCCATGAATATCGGAATAATATTCTGGGTGATTCAATTAAACTAAAGGAGTTATACAGGGTGGGTATTAAAGGAGTTATACAGGTTATACCAATGTTCAGCATTAATTTTGCCTCACCCTGTATAACTTTATGGGTCCGGTTTTAATTTGATTTAAAGTACAATAGGGTATATTTCAATTTAGGTAGTTTTTCATGAAATTTAAAAATTGTTCTTCATTTTTAGAAAATCTTAAGTAAGTCTAAAACTTTACATTTCAGTCATATACTTCCCTAATAAAACTCACCTTTATTTTTCTCTTAGAATCTAAAAATTAATTAATAAAGGGGGTATTCCATTACAAAAGAACACAACTTTGATGTACATTTTTTGGGGACACCCTGTAGAACTTTCTATATTTTTAAAACGTGCTCAGAATTAACTTACATATGCTCACAAAATTTCATTTCAATACGAACTCATCGTTCTCCTTGGAGCCTCCGAGTCGTATGAGAGGCGCCACCCTGTATAATTTTTATATTTTTTATATAGTTGCCCTTTAATAAATTGTTAGTTGAAACTAACAGTCCTACGAGTGTGGAATTTTGTACAGGTGGATTTTGGACATTCATCTCCTAAGAGAGTGAAATAAGGGATGAAAATTTGTACAAACATTTGTTAAAATCGGGTTTAGAAGTATGAAATTATGTTTGTTCCTTATGTAACGTAATTTAGCAATAACAAGCATTTTTTTTCAGAACGTCCACAGCTCATTTCACCCCCTTAGAGGGCGAATTTCCAAAAATTGTTCCTTAGTGCTAAATTTCGTTACAAAAGGGACGTCTGGGCAAAATTTCATACTTCCAAAACCGATTTTAATGAATTTTTGTACAAATTTTCATCCCTTAATTCTTATGGGGCGAATGCCTAAAATTCGCTTCTGAGTACTCACTTTCATCACTTGAGGAACCTCTGTGCAAATTTTCATACTTCTAGGACAGATTTTTTTCAGAAAGTTCACCCCTCATTTCACCCCCTTAGAGGGAAAATTTCGAAAAATTGCTTCTTAGTGCTAAATTACCTTATATAAGGAACGTCTGCGAACAATTTTATACTTCTAAAACCGATTTTAACAAATTTTTGTACATATTTTCATCCCTTATTTCTTAAGGGATGAATGCCCAAAATTCGCTTCTGAGTATAACTTTCATCACTAGATGAACCTCTGTGCAAATTTTCATACATCTAGAACAGATTTTTTTTCAGAACGTTCACCCTTCATTTCACCCCCTTAGAGGCAAAATTTCCTAAAATTGCCTCTTAGTGCTAAATTAAGTTACATAAGGAACGTCTACGCAGAATTTCATACTTCTAAAACCGATTTTAACAAATTTTTATACCAATTTTCATCCCTTATTTCTTAGGGGATGAATGTCCAAAATTTGCTTCTGAGTACTCACTTTCGTCACTTAATTAACAATTTCCAAATTTCAAACTCCTCGGACTAATTTTAAAAAAGTATGCAAAATTTCACCCCCAGTTTCACCCCTTAGTAGAAGAATTTCCTAAAATCGCTTTGTATAATCGAACTGTTAAGTTACGCTACTTAAGGCACCTCTGTGCAAAATTTCGTAGTCCTAGGACATGCTTTTTTTTGTATACAAAAGTACCCCCCATATCACCCCCTTAACGAGCGAATTTCCAAAAATTGCCCCTTAGTGTTCAATTACGTCAGTCAAGGAGCACTCGTGAAAAATTTCATACTCTTAAACCAGATTTTAACAAATTTTTATGCAGCTTTTCATCCCTAATTTCACCCCCTTAGCGGTCGAATTTTCAAAAAATCCCTTCTTAGTGCTCATTTACATCACTTAAGGAACCTATGTGCCAAATTTTATTTATTACTATATAGATAACCTTTACCCTTATTTTCAGCTAATGAATATTAAGAGACAAATAATAAAAATAAAATCTAAATTATAAATTTCATGGCTATAAATAGAATATATATGCATCTAGAAATTCTGACTTTCAAACATCCACTGCGACTAGTATTTTCATATCCAATTGTCTAGTATTAAAGTGCGAATATACATTTTCCCTGGGTTTGACCGGGAATTTGCTTATAAATGTGAACAACCGGCTACGTCGCTTCACATCGCGTGGCCGTGGTGTGGCTCCAAATTCGTTCGTTTTAAAAATATTATTAGATTTGGCTATAGCCGCCCTCTGTGTCATTAATAGGGAACTGTCTCATCGAAAACATGCTGTTCCGTAAGCAATGGCCATCTGGATTATATGTTATCTGTGATATTACATAAAAACGTCTAAAAACAGTGGACGCGAATTGCGCCAACCATGTTAGCATCATCAGCAGATGATTAAAACTAAACTTAGTTTTAATCATTGTTAGAGGAACGCGGGTCCAGTGCAAAAGTATTTTCGTGTATTGTGGTGAATTAGTTTTTTTTATTGTGTTGTAACACCCAAGGTTCCAACCCCCAATTGTAATAATAATAATATACAGGGTGTTCCTTAATGTCATGCTAATATTTAAACCGGTGAAGCTTGGGCCTATTCTAAGAAAAAAACTTCAAATGAAAAATTTCATATAAAAAAGTCTAAACATCTTAACTTTTGAGATACAAATTTTCTAAAATAAACTTTTTTTCAAAACTCTCTTGCAATTTTAACTATGTATTCGTGATTCGTATAAATGTATTTTTTTCAAAAAAAAAATTATAAAGTAAATTGAGATTGTACTTTGTTATAGACACAACACTGATGAAGGCTATAATGTTAGCCGAAACGTTTTTTTTTAAACCAAATAAAGATAATGAAAACTTAATGCCGATGCAGAAACGATTTCCACACAACAATCATCGCATCAGATTTTTATCGTAAAATGACTTTAACTTTTTTACGAAAAAAAAACATGCGTCAAACGAAGGAAAAACAAGAGATGAAAATGGTTTAGAAAAGAATGAAGATTTTGAAAATAATATTTATTTTAAAACAAGTCAATGGCGTACCATTTTATTTTCTCCAAAAATATTCATTATAAAACCCGTATGGATGGCGTTGGTTAAAATAAATAAATATTTTTGTGCATCAAAAAAGACATCTTGATGTATAGAAAACGTGTATATCAAGTTTCATCAAAATAGCGATAATAATATCAGAGTTGATATGAAAAAAAAAACATATTTTTAAAAAAAAATTAACCACCCTATATCTCAAAAGTTGAGATGTTTAGGACATACATTCATTTTTCAAGTTTTTTTCTTAGAATAGATCCAAGAATCGCCTCCTTAAATATTAGCATGTCATTAAGGAACACTCTGTATAAAACTACGTTACAATAATGCAAAGCTAAATTATACAGGGTTGTTCACCACATACGACACGGAGTATTGTAGCTTTTTTAAGCTTTTTTAATTTAAGTTTTGGGTTCGTTGAAGGACTATTAAGCTACAATTTAAAAATACAAGATACAGAGTGTCCCCAATAAGTAAAAAATATTATAGTTGTATTTTTTAAATGGAACGCCCTGTATATTATTCCATTTTTAGATTCTACGATTGAAATAAAGATGAATTTGGTTAAGGTTTATCACACTTAAACATTACCGTTTTTGAAATATTTTCAATTTTGTGAAATTGCATTGCAGTAAAAAAAAATAAGGCTTTATTTCTCCAATGGTATTAAAGGTTTTAATACTAAATATTTACTGAAGATTATTTATTGATCATATATTATGTTGCAATAATAAAACTTATACTACCTTATACAGAGTGTTCAAAAAATTATATTAAATAATTACTAGCTTTCAACGGCAGTAACTTGTTTAATTTAAATGGTACACCCTGTATATTTTACGTGAATCAGGTGCACAATTTAATTGTCTATCAATTGTATTATACCATTTTTTACCTATTTCTTCAAGTTTTCGTAGAAAATGCATTTTCTTATTATTTAGACCTCATTTATCACTATACCCATGGAATATTGACATTTTAGATTTTTTTAAAGCAACATATGTACAAAATATACAGATGGCAAAAATAGTAATAGTGCAAGCCCATTTGTTTACAAAAAGAAAACTATTTAAATCTTTGTAAAAGAGTTTACCAATTATTACTAATTATTAATTTACCCCTCCTAACAATTAGTCAAATGCATACTTAATTGTTTTAATCAATAAATTATTCTAAATAAATGTGGATTTGACTCAGAAATCAATACAATAATAACATATGGAAATGAACGTCTCTTACTATAAATAAGCATTTGTTAAAAATTAAATAAAATTTATAAGGTGTTACTTTTTACCGCACTGTCTAATACACATACAAAATTCAGTTTTTTAGTACTTGGAGCAATTATTATTAATCAACGTAAACAATCAATTAATGTAGTTTATATACTGGGATCATATTAATTGGTCCTATTTAACAAATATTTAAACAGTTTTTCTTATTTTTTAATGAAATAAGCAAATTATATCGACAATATTATCTGGTACTCTTTGAAAATTTGTTACATTTTTAAAAATAATCTAAAATGTCAGTAATCCATGGGTATAGTGATAAATGAGGTCTAAATTATAAGAAAATATTACTTCTACGAAAATTTGAAGAAATAGGTAAAAAATGGTATAATACAATTTGATAGACAATTAAATTGTTCATCTGATTCTCGTAAAATATACAGGGTGTTCTATTTAAATTAAATAAATTATTGCCGCTTAAAACTAGTAACTGTTTAATATAAATTTTTAGACACTCTGTATAAGATAGTATTTTGTTTATTATTGCAACACAATATCTGATCAATAAATAAACTTCAGTAATTATTTAGTATTAAAAACTTCGACACCCTTGCAGAAATGAAGTCTTAAAATTTTTACTGCAATTTCATAAAATTGAAAATATTTCAAAAACGGTAAGGTTTAAGTGTGATAAACCTTAACCAAATGTATCTTTATTTTAATCGCAGAATCTAAAAATATAATAATATACAGGGTGTTGCATTTAAAAAAATACAACTATAATATTTTTTACTTCTTTGGGACACTCTGTATCTTGTAAAAATATTTTCAAATTGTAGCTCTAATAGTCCTTCAACGAACCCTGTTTAGCTACAATACTCCTGTATATTTATAAATAATTCTAAATCTTAATTTTAACTGAAAAAATCTGTATCAATAAAGAATATATTTACCCGTTTTTGTAAATCTTCTGCTGTTAAATCTGGATCGTAATATATTGGTTTTCCAATATGCGTTATCATTTTTACTGGAAATCCCCCATACAAAGGAGCAAAAGGAATTCTAGTCCAAGAATATAATTTAAGAAATATTCTTCTGCCTATGCTAACTGCTCGGAATGCCTCTCTAATATTTTCAGTAAATATAGGCACCACTGGCTGAAAGTTTGATAAAGTTGAAAAAATATTTATAATGAAGATCAGATTACATACTGCTTTTGAGTCTAACGCTGCTTTCGCAAATCCTAATCTCCTCTTCCACATTAACTCATAATTAGTGCTAAACTGCGCTTCATACACGCCACCAGGGGATATTGCCAAATAATTTCCTTCTTTTAATAATCTTGAACACGACTGTACTGTTCCAGGAATAACTTTCATACAGTCTGCCAATATATTAAAGCCTCGAAAGAAAATAAATACTCTATTATATGTATAACAAGCATGTCGGTATAAGCAGGCATGATGGAGAACGTTTCCTATAAACATTGTTTAGGTGATTCTATATTTCTGAGTCTAAATAGCATTTGAATAGTTTTTTAATAAAAAAAATATTTCTCTCTATAGTATTTATAATACACCCTATTATACGTATATAGTGTATCTAACGAGTCAGAAAATTTTTTAAGAGAGGTAAATTGTATTTTCTATTTTTATCGAAAAAGGGAAAAAATGGCAGTTAGGCCAGTTAATGACATGAGAAAATTTTATAAAAGTTGGCTATTAGAGCTCGAATTCACTGACGGCCAGGTCTCAATGGGTCACAACGACCTGGACGTCGAGCGTCGCGTCGGCTGGTTGCGTACATAGGTGCAGCCAGATGAACGACCAGTTTCGGCAAGGCTGTCAGATCTAACGATTTTTTACGTTTTACTAATTAGAAAATATTGTTTTCAGAAATGTAAAAATATCCAAGTTAACTAAAAAGCGAACTTCCTATTTATGAGCTTATTAAATGTTCCAATATTAAATAAAGTAACGTTTCTTCAAAGCCATACCGAGCGAAAATCACAAAAGAACTACGATATGCGAAGACAAAACTGAATAGAATATTTTTAAAGCAATTCGGCCCGTCTGGCCGTCACAGAGTGTTGTATCAGATATAAAAATAATAAATAAACACATTATATCAAAAATAGTATTGTTCCTAAAAATTGAAAACAAATGATTTATTTATGACTTAGGTATTTATATACATAAAAAATATAAATATTTAATTTTTTAACTCTATTTCTTGGTATTTGTGTTAGTACAGGGTATTGAATTAGTCCTAGTAAAAATATAGTCTAATGAATAGCCGCATAGAATAAGTAAATAAATAAATAAATCGGCGTTTTCTGACCCATTTATTTATATTTAATTTATCGCACTGCTATCTGCTCTCGATAATTGATATTACGGCCTGATTTGAGGAGCCGTACGGGCTGATTTGACGAGCCTTACGAGCTGATTTGAGAAGCCGTACGGGCTGATTTGACGAGCCGTACGGGCTGATTTGACGAGCCGTACGGGCTGATTTGACGAGCCGTACGGGCTGATTTGACGAGCCGTACGGGCTGATTTGACGAGCCGTACGGGCTGATTTGACGAGCCGTACGGGCTGATTTGACAAGCCGTACGGACTGATTTGACGAGCCGTAGGGGCTGATTTGACGAGCCGTAGAGGCTGATTTGACGAGCCATACGGGCTGATTTGACGGGCCGTACGTGCCGATTTAAGGAGCCTTACGGGCTGATTTAACGATAGCTGTACTGGCTGATTCGAGCATGTACACAGCTTCTCAGGAAGCCTTAGTTTTTTTCTAATGGCTCTCTTTCCTTGTTCTAGATGCTGTCTCCGAGCACAAAACACTTTACTCCAATTTTGGAGTTATTTGATCTGCCCACAGACGATGAGAAGGATCAACCAGTTCTGGAAAATCTGAAAAAACTGGCCAAGAATTCGCTTCCAAAAGGTTGGGAGAACTGGAAGGTGGCATGCTATGATAGGGAGGTTCTCTTCGGAGAGTCCGTTGATCCCAGCATACTTAATAAACTCCGTTTTGCCTTACCAACGGTTGGCATTGCTAAAGCATTTAATCCCAAAGCAAATAGTTTACCAGAACAAGTTTACAAAAACTACAAACTCCGGATGCTATCTTGGCCACTGTGTGTGGCGTTAATCATCGGGCCTCCTTCATTATCATCACGCATTCGAGGTTCATCCATCCACCATGAGTTGGTTCTGGCGGCTATAAGTGACCTTAAGCCGCTCCTGATTTCTCGTGAAAAGGCTTGTCTTCACCTTCAGAGTTACGACAAAGACACTAATCTGTGGGACGATGAAGAGGGCTGCTCAACATCGACTTCGTCGCAACCCAAGAAAGAATCACGCTTGGAAAAGATTGAAAGGGATCATAATGAATTGAAAGAAATGTTCATGAATTTTATGCATCGTTTTCAATCTCAACAAGATGCTATGGACAATAATGAATCGGAAGATAACGAAGCTCCCTCTATAGAGTCTTCGGATAAAGATGAATCTGATATTTGGGAACCACCCACATCTCCAACTTGTCATTCGAGTCAGAGCCAGAATCATCCGGAAGAGGAATTGGATTTTGAACCAAGAACACAAGAAATAGAACCGTCCGTCTCAGCGGCAAAACATCACATTGAGCAGCAAGTTATAGAATGCCAACGGTTGGGGTTGTCATCCTTCAATAAAATTAGATATGTAGATGCGCGGAAGAAACTACAAGCTTCACCGGTTCTTGGACCATTAAAAACCAATTATCAATTAAAGAACTTAACCACTAACTCTTTTGGGACAATTACCCACGGACTCCTCCTTCAACGGGATAGTTTTTCTCAAGGTATCAAGGAACTAGTGACTAAATTTCCACAAATCAGACAGGAAGCTGGTAATATCCTGTGGGGTCCTGACTCACAGTTTAAGCAAAATTCTAACGATCTGCTACAATTCGTGTGTGGTAAAAGAGCCAAGACAATAGAATTGCGTAGAAAATTGTTCAGACCTCGAAATGACATGGTGGCATCGTTACTGAACAACATACCTCCATCCAAATCCCATCTCTTTGAGGAAGCTGAATTATCGGAACTGTTTAAGCAGCACCAGTCTTTTAGACCGCCCTTTCGTTCCTCAAAGTTTGAGAACCAAAACAAACATCCACAAGGTACATTTCGAAAACCCCCAACTCATCAAGCGAGATCCAGACACAAAAATTTTCCAAAGACATCAAAAGATTTCAACAAGAATGCACCAACCACTTCCAGAGGCAAACCCAGAGACAAGCCATACACTAGATTCTCCAACAAAAACAATAAAAGACAATGACTATACACAGTTCAGAGGAGGGCGCTTTTTCGGGCGCGGCCGGTGGTCCATGTTCAGTACCTTCTCATATGCGTCGTCAAGGGTTAAAGCGGTCAAGCCTAGGCAGGACCTGAAATATCCGTTTTCTTCCCTTCGTGGGGAAAACGGTTATATTAAATCGAAAAGAAATGAAGAATTAACCCCCCGTAGCTGCGAAACTAAGCAGAATTCGACCTATGTTGATATGAAAAATAAATCTTATTTTTACGTTAGGAATCTCCCCACAAAGAGATGGCACATGTTTTTAAAACACCCTGAATAAGATCAATATGTAATAATTTGTAAACATTTCTTAGATCATCACGTAATGATCATACATAATAATTTGTAAACATCAACATCAGATTTAAATGTAAATTAAACGTTACTTAACGGTGCACTGGCTAACCAGCGAACAAGTAACTAACTACTGCGGTTTCAGGGAGTTTCTTCTATAAGCTATGGCTTCGAACAACTAATTTTGGAAGATATAACCCATGTCTGTATAATGCTTTTATTAATTTTTCACCGACGTTGCTTTCAGTTAAAATGATGGAAACAAAAAATTAATAGATAAATTTTCATCTTTCAACACGTCTTATTTCACACAACCATAACTAAACCCAAGTTGTGACCCAAGTTCTTGATGTTGAAGAGAAATACATTGGTAAATGGAAACATATCTAATCTAAAAAGTCAGCTGATCATGACGTCTTGGACGATTAATTAATTATTCTCGGTTGAAGCCGTTGAAGCAGTCATTGTAAGCAATGAATTTTTTGAAAAATACTTTATAATAGTGCTATCAAGTACCTATCACAGCATTTTTGATTGTGTTATTTTTTTAATAAAAAGTTTATAAACATCGGTGTCCAAAAATTATTAGAAATATTTTTTAAAAAGTTTCTCCTAATTATAAAAATAGGAAAAATACATGAAATTTGGCAATTTTTCACAAAATCTGGAATTTTCTGCGAAGTTGAAGAAATATGAAGGTTGTTTAAGGCTCCGTTGAAGAAATTGGCTCAAAAATTTCTAGCAACACCCAATTTCTGCTTGGACTTCTGAATCTGTTTGTTGTTTACTTTGGAGTGATTTAAAGACTATATGTGCTTATATCCTTATAATATTGTTTAACTGTAGGAAAGGTTTTTAATACTGACTTTAACTTTTGTTTAAATAATGTAATAAATGAATTATTTTAATTAGTGTCATATTTAGTAAATTTAGTGTAAGTACATATTGGATTTATTATTAGAATTAAGTTTGACCCTACCTAATTTTGCCTACTTTACTTTCTCTTGACTTGTGCAAATACTCCTATATATAACTATCAATAAATTTATTAGTATTATTAATATAATTATAGTTTACTCTGCCCAATAAGAAAGACAATGTATTCTAAATACCTATTTGTATTATTTACTTCTTTTTGTTCTAAATGTCCTTAAAACTATGATTTTTCTCAAGAATAATATAAAAAAATGAGTAAATTCAGAATAAAATTTAAGAAAGTAACTGATTTTTCAACCTATTTTCTTTGTGCTAATTATAAATTCTCAATATTCATTCATTTTTGCTCATTTCATTCTCTGTTTCTCTCTGTTCTGTTTCTCTCATTTCATTCTTTGTTCATTTCATTCTCTCTCATTCATTCCAAAAATAAATTCTATGTAGCGTTTATAGCACTATATAGATAAGGAATAATATACACCTGGTATTTTGAATAGAAAATGATCTGCCACAGTATGGACCAAACCGAATTTTGATAAAAGCATCTTTGCTAAAAAATAGTAAAGATCTATTGGTATAGCCCCATGATAATAGATAAATAAAACTGGTCCAGATATAGGAAGATTTTCTAAGCCATGTATCTCATAACCTAAAATAAAATTAAGTGTATAATTGAATAAGAATTGCTTATAAATGTACCGTGCCATATCCAGCCATGAGCATCCCAAATTGCTGCAACACATTTTCTAGCAGCTTCCCATTTATCACCTGTTCTTAAGGCCGTTTTTAAACAACTCCAATGCAGTTTGTAAATGTATAGCACAAAAGCTGTTATGTATAATAAAACGGCTATTATCACAGGCAACAAAAAGGTTACTAGTAAAGGCATTAAACACCATGTTAACCAAATGGAATAATCAATATCAACAAAATTAACTAAAAAAAGAATATTCTAATTTTCAGAGTACTATTATCCATTACATACTTATCAGTACAACTATAAAAAAGGAAATTTTACAAATAAACTGTTTTGGGAAAATTACCTATGTAATCTTTTATGAATTGTAAACATTGATCTAAAATTTGCATTCTAAATTACAAAAATATTAAAGTATTGTTAATATATTCATGAGAAGTGTTATATATCTTCTAATTTTATATGATGGTAAAATTTTAAGAACTTGCCACATTTACAAACAATAATGGGAACACTCAATAACTTTTAATTTAAATAGACCTGCGACCTGTTTGACAACAAAAACAGCTGATGAATATCTTGTCATCAGGGGTACCAATACCTATCTTCCGGGAAACCGCTTATAATGGCAATACTGATTGTCATGATGAAAGTCCATATAATTTGACCTACATGCTTTTAGAAACATATTAACATTTACTTAATATTTAAAAAATATATGATAGTTATTATATATGATATTTTTAAGGTAGTTACTTTGTTTTTTTCATTTTCATATTGGCTATATTGTTTAAATTGATAATGGACATTGATGCCAAATTGTTCAATAGGAATGTTATAGTTATCTAAAAATTATTATGATCTCTATTATAGGTCATCAAAAAGTCCGAATGTGATACAAAATATTTATCATTAAATTAATAATTAAGATATAATATAATGTGGTAACATATGGATCTAAATTGATTGTTATTACTTTTACAAAAGTGAAAAGTGATTAGTGAAATAACGTTAGTGACTGTTAGTAATGCAAATTTGGCAACATTTAGATTCTTTCCATTTTCTTTTATAGAACAGTGTATTATTCTTATTTTAGAATTTTAATGTAAAATCGTGTTTTCTAACAAAAAGACGGTATTATTAGAACATTTACTGTAAGTAAAGTATGCTAAAAATTATTATATCAAAAATATTTTAATAGGCTGTATAGAGAAAATTTGTACTAACGATTACATTTGTTTTGAATTTGAATTGTTTGCATGCTGGGCTGGTTATTTTAAGTAGTTTTGTATGTAGGTACAAATGATTTCCAAATCATTTATAGCTGAATTAAACCTTTCATTTATCTTTTATTTATAATTTTGTCGTAAGGAACATGTCAAACTGCATGTAAAAACTCGATGACGTAAAGTACGTAAAGTGCATCTATTCTAATATATTGTCCTTGTAATTTTAATGCATTTTGGCTGAAGTAAAAACATTTCTTTCTATTTCTTACTAGTATCTTTCTAAGTTCTTGTATTTTATAATTTTACGTATAATCATAATATTAAAGCAATTGAGTTTGCACTTATTGATTTTTTGGTTGAAAAGTAAGTAGATACTTTATGTTTCTTATTCTTTGTTCTTACACTTCTACCTCAGCTACAATTTACTTATTTATCTCTAGCTTACCAGCATTTAAGCTTTGCGTCTTTTAAATGGTTTTATTCTCATATTCTAATAATAGTATTACTATTAATTTCATCTTAACTAATAAATTGATTTTAATGTTCTTATGTACCTATTAGACATAATATATTTTTTATCTAAAGAAGTTCAATTAGTTTTTATGTCAGTAGCTATCATCATCGAAAAAAATGGTGAACACTCGTCGTATGGAGTCAATTGGCTCATCTCCTACAAGACCTCATCGCACAAGGGTATGTGTACATATACCTAGGTTCTCGGTTTCACTGTCGATAGTCATAAATTCATACGCAGTTAAATAAAATTAATGTTCTAGTGTAAAGTGTAAAGAAAAAGCATTAATTGCACAATTTATGTTTCAAAAATTAAGGCACAGCATCAAAGAGTCATCTATGTAATGTACATATTGCGGGTTAATGTTTGTGCAACAATTGTTTACTTTAATTTAGGTATTAAAATTATTATTTTTTAAATTTATTATTTTTTAAATAATCATAATATCTCTAAAAAGTTTTGTGTAGTACGGGCTTCTAAATTGGTTTTAATGATTCTAATATAGTTATAGAGGTCTCATTTTGTTAGGGTGCTTCTAAACTCGAAGAGCAGGATACAGATTCGTCAAGTGACAAGGAGGAAGAAGGTGAGGAAAGTGACAGTGAGCAATCAAAGAGTGAAGATAATACATCGTCGGACATTCCTTTAGTAAAAACTGAGAGGGTGTTAAGACGAAAACCAGGCCGACCTAAACCGAGCAGAAAAGTTGTTACTATTACAAGAAATTTTAAGAAGTTTAATGGTAAGTATAGTCCTATGTATTTACTGCTACATCTGAGTTGGACTTTAGAATTAAGTACATACAATTTATTTTCGGTTTCAGTCCATATTACGACAGTAAAAACGTAAAAAAATGTCCATCCAGATTAAGTAAAAATATTGGGGGGGGGGGGGATATTGGCACTTAATTATATTATACCGATTTGGTCATCGAAACTGTGCGGTCTGGATTTTAACATGTAAGACAGTAATGTAGATAGCGTAATGGAAAATCAAATGTATTAAAAAGAGATAAAAATTGAGTCCACACATTTCTTCTATGCGGTATTGCCAGATTTTGCATCAAAATTTCAAACCGAATAGGTAGGCGTTTACGAAAAATGTTGCAATTTAGGGTTGTAACTTTGTTTTTCACTATTAGTTACTCATTTTACTACAGCTGTAATAGATTATATTCAGTTTAGATATATAATCATCGTATACATGAAACATTTTAAAATAGCTTATATTTTTCTACACACATTTTCCTACAAATGTAAAAAACCGGCAACACTGTATGCCGCTTTTGATTTTTTCTCTCTATCTGTCAACCGGTCATTTATATTATTTTCTGTCACACTGATCAAAATCGAACACACTGATGACCAGGTCGCACCGGCCAGGCCGCTGCTACCTCTAAAACCATTAAATCAAATGATACCGCGCACACTAACGTCCTGGCCGTCCGTTGGTCGTTGCGACCAGTAGACTGCACTAAAATATTATAATTTTCTGCCGCTTGTTGCCGGTTTTCTTCCAAATGAATAATTTTTCAGATGAAATCCCTCAAAATCAACGCACAATATTTTATTTTCTATAAGATATAGTATTTTAGTGTATTTTTTGCACACGTGCAGAAAATCCAAAGAAATAGTATACAGACTGGATCAAAGGGAAACTTAAATCTAGTCCCTTTTTTTATCAGGGGTCGATCCTAGTAAAATTTCAAAACGTTTTTATATGACATACTCTATTTATGATTGGTATGATACCTGTTATACCTTCGAGTTTCGATGTTAAAAAATAAAAAAAATCATATGTTTTTTTTATTAAATTGTTATTTTTTAGTTGTATTGTAGTCATGTACAAGGAGGACAATTGTATTTTAAATATTATATTTAATTTAACGTTTTTCAAACAGGGTTCATTAGATATATTTCTACTAGGTACATTATGTTTAAAAAAAATTAAGAGTAAAAGTAACTTAAACATTCATAAAAATAGAAATATTTACTGTTGTAGATTCTCAGTAACAATAAAAAAGAGGAATTTATATTGTAAACATTGAAATAACTGGAAGCTAAACTTTCTACCCGCTCATATTTAGAGCCAGTGTCTGACGACTTTTTTACGATGGCCCTAATATGTTTACGTCTTAAGTCGATAAGAGCCATCAGTACAAGTTCATATCATTGTTCTGCTTGTTCATGCGCGCTCGGTTCGTTCGGGCTAAAATGCCAAAGTCTGGACGCGCCTTTAGGAACAATACTGTTTTTGTCCTTTATTGATATAATGCTGAAAATCTCACGAGTTACATGTCTCACTCTACACATATTAAATTACATAGACGTAGGATGTAGAATATTCTGTTATGAAACGACTGGTGGAATATCGCGGATTTGAAAAACATGGAAATAACGACGTTATCGTATAGTCGGAGTTGGAGATTTTACTCCCTCCATTTACCACACCAGTATTTATTAACGAAAAATCCAAGAATATTTTAAATACATTATTTAATATTAGAACATTTAATAAGCTCATGAATAGCAACTTCGCTTTTTAGTTAACTCGGATATTTTAACATTTCTGAAACATAATTCTTTCCGAAACAATATTTTCTAATTGGTAAAACGTAAAAAATCGTTAGATCTGACAACTCTGTTGAAACTGGTCGTTCGTCTAGCCGCAGCTATAAACGCAATACATCCGGCCAGCCGACGGACGGCCAGGTCGTTGCGACCTGGTCGTCAGTGAGTTCGAGCCCTCGGTTAAGCATAAAAATTTAATAAAACCTCTTTATAAGCGTAAAAATTAAGAAAATATATGTATTTACAATATTCTGAGGCAGCAACTAAGGTCTAGATGTGTTAGGTTAAGCATAAAAATTTAATAAAACCTCTTTAGGGCTCGAACACACTGACGACCAGGTCGCACCAGCCAGGCCGCAGCTACCTCTAAAACCATTAAATCAAATGATATAGCGCACACTAACGTCCTGGCCGTCCGTTGGTCGTTGCGACCAGAAGAGTGCACGGAAATATTATTTTCTGCCGCTTATTGCCGGTTTTCTTCCAAATTAATAATTTTCAGATGAAATCCCTCAAATTCAAGGCACAATATTTTATTTTCTATAAGATATAGTGTTTTAGTGTAGTTTTTGCACACGTGCAGAAAATCCAGAGAAATAGTATACAGACTGGATCAAAGGTAAACTTAAATCTAATCCCTTTTTTTATCAAGGGTCGATTCTAGTAAAAACTCAAAACATTTTGATATGACATACCTACTCTATTTATGGTTGGTATGATACCTGTTATTATACCTTTGAGTTTCGATGTTAAAAAATAAAAAAAATAATATTTAAATTTTTTCTACAACCACTTGTTTTTTTTATTAAATTAGTTTTTTTAGTTGTATTGTAGTCATGTACAAGGAGGACAACTGTATTTTAAATATTATATTTAATTTAACAGGGTTCATTAGACTATATTTCTACTAGGTACATTATTTTGAAAAAAAAATTAAGAAAGTAACTTAAACATTCATAAAAATAAAAGTAATTATTGTTGTAGATTCTTCGTTATATTGTAAACATTGAAATAACTGGAAGCTAAACTTTCTACCTGCTTATATTTAGAGCCAGTGTCTGACGATCTTTTTTTACGATGGCCCTAATATGTCTTCTAAAGTCGATAAGGGCGCCATATCAGTAGTAAAAATAAACAGAATATCTCCCTTTTTGTCGGTCGCGCGTACACAATGCTTTTTGTTTGTTGTGAATAGCAACTTTGCTTTTTAGTTAACTCGGCTATTTTAACATTTCTGAAACAATATTTTCTAATTGGTAAAACGTAAAAAATCGTTAGATTTGACAACTCTATTGAAACTGGTCGTTCATCTGGCAGCAGCTAAAAACGCAATACATCCGGCCAGCCGATGGCCAGGTCGTTGCGACCTGGTCGTCAGTGAGTTCGAGCCGTATAAATAGCCTTATAAGCGTAAAAATTAAGTAAATATATGTATTTACAATATTCTGAGTCAACAACTATGATCCGACCGAACCTAGATTTTTAGTCTCGACCGAGACCAAGAGAAAAAGAAATTCCCGGCCGAAAACGAGACCGAGTCACGATACAATATTTATTTAACAGTTTATTATATGAAAAAACATCTGATAATAATATAATAAAAACGTTATTTTCATGCAGAAAATGTTTTTATTGGAATTTAATACTACAAAAATTTGAATACTGCTAAAATTACTTTTTTTGTCTATGTTACAGGCTAAAATCAGGAATTTTTCAGCATTGTATTCTTTCAAATTATGCCTTGTTTCATCATATTCTTTCTAAATAGTTGTTTGCTAGAGACGCTTATCGATGGTGCAGACTAGAAATTTATAAGCTGCTGGTTTTAGAACTCTGTATTTCAGAACTCTGTATCAATCTTACTTTTAATACGCATAGGTTATCAAGTAATTTATCTCTCCAAAAAATTCCATATGGGTATTTCGCCACTGCACTGCAAGAAAATCTACAAAATAAAATAGTTATTTTTTGTAAACACTTCTGGCGTTAAACCTAAGCGTTAAACCTAAACGGAAACTGCTTGTCAGAAGTTATGTTTACAGTTATACAAATTTGCCTAACAAGGAAAAAAAAGCTTAACGTTTTGGAAAGTTTATCTCTTTCCGTCGTCGGAAGCAAAAAAAATACAAAGAATAATGAAAAAACTATCTAAAATATTTAAACTCATATTCATACATAGAGTTACCAGACCTCTGGATTAATCCGGACATGTCCGGATTTTCACTTCGTCCGGTTGGGTACTGGAGAATTTTTCATTGGCGTCCGGATTTTAATGTCCCATTAAGAAATGTCGCAATAATGCAAAAAAATATATTAGTTTTAATAAATTTAGTAACTTTGTTAAGGATCCTGTGTTGAATCACCGTTGTCACCATGTCACCAAAATGTAAGGAACTCTGCCAGTGTGTTGAGGAATCTGCTGCTAATGTTGATATTTCTTCTTACGCTGAGGTTCGAACTAATGTTGATGTTTCTAGCAACGTTGCACTTTACACTTTTTCTTAAATACTTTATTTTAAGGGAAACTTTTACAATTAGTTTTACAAGTAAATATAGAAATTGCCGAATGTAACTGTCAAGAATCCGTCAAAAATAAAAGAGAGACTGTCGAAAATTAAAGAGAGTATGCATAGATAAATGCAACAAGTTTAGATTGGAAAGCCCGTAAATATTTTGGGTCGCGACCGTTATACGCGATCTGGCGCTACTATAGCGGTCGCTAAGAACAACGGCAAACAAAAACAGAAATAATTTTCTCTTGTCAAAGTCAGAATCTTCAAAAATCATAATAATCTTTCAAAATCTGAACCGCTCTCATTAAATTAATTCCGAAAAGTGTTTATAGCGTCCATTTTCAAAGTAATTATTTGCTATCTTGTGAGTTCAATTCAAGTTTTATTTACTCCAACCGGTGATAATTGTGAAAAAGTGGCATTAAAAACTTAAAAAGCTGTGCTGTGAACTGCAAAAACCATCGTGGATCGTGGCATAACGTTGGTTTCCAATGTTTCATAGGTATTGCATACATGCGTCCTTATATAAAATAAAGTTTCTTGTATGCAACACACTGTATTTTATTTATAAAATTAAACGAAAATAATAATAAATTTGAATAAACAATATTTGGCGATATAATTCCGGAAAAAGCCGAACTGCTCCGAAATTTTTGAACTTTTTTGCTCCGAAAAAAGTTTTGGGTCGCGACCGTTGCAAGAATAGCCCCAAATAGTGTTTACATTGTCCTTATGGGCACTTTCCAATCTAAACTTTTTATTTATCTATGAGAGTATGTTTGTTAAGGCTACATCTTGGAAGAGCGTTTGAGCTTGAACGAAATGAGCGATTGAACTTGAGTAAGTCAGCCTGGAGGACTCTTCTTCGGTTCCTTAAATACGGTCTCAGACCACCCAATAGCCAGAGGCGTACAATATATTTTTTAATATTCTTAGGGTAAAGTTAATTAACATTAAGGTGTCGATTCTTCAAGAAATAGATAACTCAAGTCTAGACGTAAGTATTGTATAGAAATGGACATGACTAGTTTTTAAGGGTAATGTATGTTTTTAGAAGCTCTTGATAGTGGAAAAACTTGTTACAGATCGTCTTTTAGATACACAACCAAATTTTAACAGTGGCGTAACTTAAAACAGATAAAAACTTTACTGAAACTAATATTATAATCTAATAATTAATCTAGGCAGGGATACAACGACTTAAAAAATCGTTGATAAATTCGGTAGTATAAATTCATTGTTTTACTTCGTAAGTTTTACGTTTTGAAAGTTATAAATGCATTCTTTTTCAAACACAAAAGTCTTAATTTATGCGACGTGATTGACAACGAATTGACAATATAAAAAAGTAATTTTGATGCTTAGGCATAAACTATGAACACACTATGGGCATAAAAGTAAAGTACTTTTACGCCTAAGCATAAAAGTACAAAAATATATTATTAAACTGACATAAAGTGTCAAATTAAAGGAGCGTGACTATAGTTTCTCGAGATATAATTACATACAAGATATGACTTTTAAATCTTTTTATATTATTTGCAACGTTTGAAATTGTTTAAAATATTATTTGTGGCGTTTGAAAAGAAATAGCATGTTCTATTCTGAGTAAAAATGACTTTTTGTATCTCGGCTGTATGTCCGTCAAACGTACAGTCTCGCCACAAAAAGTATCATTTATTAACTCTTAATAAAACAATATACAATTTTTGCTTTTAAATGGGCAAAAACATTATGACATCCGGATTTCGTCCGGATTTTTGTGAAGGCGTGCCCCGGGTGGACAAGTTTTCATCTGGTAACCCTATTCATACACAAGCACAATTCTGTTAAAATAATAAGACACTAACGTCTAACATTTCGTTTATTGTTTATGCATCGAAATACGAATGCGGTTCTTCAGCCGTCCAGGAAATCCCATTCGTGATTGAATCAGATCATATATGGATCGGATATAAAATCGCGACTTCATACGAGTATATTGAGGTGTATTAATCTACGAGTATTGATCCATCAATAGCTGAAGCAATATGCTCAAAAATAATCTAATTTGGCAATCATGAAACTGAGATCTCGGTCGGACCTTACTAGCAACCATTGACTTTTTCATTGACAGTTAATCGACAGCAATGTGAATAAAATAGCGACATCTTATATGTCATCATATGCTTGTGTCATCTGTCATAATTCTTTCGCGGTATCAAATAGCACCATTATTTTATTTTAATATTTTCAAATTTACTGGATAATCCACATTTTTTTAGCTAAAATTACGTATTAAAACTCGACTTTTGAGAAAAAATTTTGTTTTCTTAAAATTCTACTGTCTGTAAAGTCGAACGGACCCTTATTCTACCCTATTAAAAAAATACAGTGTATTAACTCATCATATTTTATATACAGGGTGTCCCAGAAATAAGTGCAAGTATTTTAACTGGTAGTATAGTTCGCCCCCAGAAACACGCCTGAGGTTTTTTTTTGCGAAAAAAAAATTGCAAATTTGAAATTCTTTGAAATTTTTTTTAGTTTTTAGTTTAAACACATAATTTCTTGATAATGTGGCAACATTGGTATTAAATTAAATTTACAAGAAAGAAAATCCAGAAAAGATCCAGTGGTTCTCAAAATTTTAGCAAAAAATCATTTTTTTTGAAAATTTTCAAAGTGAAATAACTCCGTTATTTTGGACTTATTTGAAAACGATAAAGAAAAAATATGTTTCTTTTATCGAGATCTACCACCCCTTAAAATACTTGCACTTATTTCTGGGACACCCTGTATAAATTCAATTATGTAAGTAGTAAACTAAATAAATTGGTATTTATAGCTCGCTCTGTTGGCAGTACTCATAAAACAATATCATTACAAAGAAGTAGCTTAGCTGTATATGCTAAAAGAAACATGACTGATGATATGGGTGTTAGTAACAGAAATTTTTCTGATGAAGAGTTTTATCCTAATCCAAGGTAATTATTTACATTATTACATTGCAACTCAAATATACATTATGATTTTTTCTTGTTTTATTTCTAATATCAGAAGTCATAGATCAAATCATCTAATTAAAAAAAATCGACTGTTAAGAAGAACAGCATTGTCATTAAGACCACTTAGCCAGAAATGTTATGCTGATCATTCTTCAATTCACTTTGATTCTGATAGTGATGGTAAGTACTTTCTAAAAATGTGATTAATTGTATTAATAACATATTAATGTTTATTTAATTTAGCTGTTCTTAAAAGAAGTACTAGGAAAAGGAACATAAGTTGGCTAGCGGACAGTCAGATGCATAAGGTTGGATATCCAAACCTTAATATAGGATATTCAGAAGAAGATAGCAGGGATGCTGCTGATGACCATGAAAATATAGAAGTAAAATTATAAAATGTGTTTATCTTGTAAATGATACCATTTTTTAAATATTTTTTTTAGATTCCTCAAAGGGTAACAAGATATTCTAACAGAAGAAGAATATCAAAACCATCATATTATTATGACGAAGAATATGATGATACTCCTGAAATTCGGAGAAGGAGTAACAGGACTAGCAGAGTTAACAGAGTGATTAGAACTAGACATTCAGAGTTGAATAACAAAGCAAGTAAAGATGATAATGATGTTGAAAGTAAAAGTACTTCTAAAGAAAGAATAAAAGATGAACCGGAGGAAGAAACAACAGGAGAAGATAATGATACAAAACCAGATAATGAAAATAATGATGGTAAAACTAACTTAGAGGATAAAAAAGATGGTAAATATTGTTTTATATACCGGGTGCGTCTCAAAAGTGGCTCACCCCTATAACTTCTTTATTTTTAGGCGACCATACCAATAGGTATGGTAGGCTATTAGGATCGGCAAAAAAAAGTTTTTTTTTAATTTCACTCAAAATGAGTTATTTGGGTCATAAGTGACCTAAATACAAAATATTTTCATGGTGTCTGTCTGTCGGTCCGTCTGTCCGTCTGTAACACGATAACTCAAAAACCGCTGAACCGATTTTAACCAAATTTGGCACAAAAATACTGTGGCACCCGAGAATCTGGCCATTAGTTTTTGGTGGGGGTGGGTTGGTGGTAAGGCGGTATGGGAGGGGGTTAAATTTTTAAAAAATCGTAACTCCAAAATTACAGTAGCTAGCGAAACGCGGTTTTCAAATTAAGATTAGGAATAATATTTGCAATAAAATTTGTAATAACATCAAAATCAGTCAAAGTCGCAGTATAGTATGGGCGACTATACGTGTCTCCCGGCGCCAATTTTTTCAGATAAAAAACAAGGTTTGGTATGTTAATACATTACATAAATTAGGATTTATTGACGCATTCATTTATTGTTTTTGGTCACTTCCTGTTTCACCCGAAATAACTACAACTTTTTTTTTAAATGACACCCTCTGTATTTTTAGCCGACCATACCAATAAGTATGGTAGGCTATTAAGATCGGCAAAAAAAAGTTTTTTTAATTTCACTCAAAATGAGTTATTTGGGTCATCACGGCCTAAATACAAAATATTTTCATGGTGTCTGTCTGTCTGTCCGTCTGTAACACGATAACTTAAAAACCGCTAAACCGATTTTAACCGAATTTGGCACAAAAATACTGTGGCACCCGAGAAAATGGCCATTAGTTGTTGGTGGGGGTGGGAGGTAGCGAAACGCGGTTTTCAATTTAAGATTAAGAATAATATTTGCAACAAAATTTGTAATAACATCAAAATCAGTCAAAGTCGCAGTTTTTGAGATAAAAAAAATTGGAAAATTCCTTTACTTTGAAACTAAAAGAACTGCCTACCAACTTTTTATTAACATATTTTAGTATGGGCGGCTATACGTGCCTCCCGGCCCCTCCCGGCGCCAATTTTTTTACTTTATTCGATAGAAAATGACACTCTGAATTGAATGACATATATCATATGTCAACTTTTGAAATTTTCACATACTGATGGTTTATTTGAAATTGTAACATGCGGTTTACAACGACAATTTCACTCGAAATACTAAGTGTGTGGTACCAAATTATTTGTAAAAAAATGATTTTTCCAAATATGCTAATGAACCACCCTTGTTCCATTTGAAAAAATTGAGATATGATTCAAAATACGATTTGCGCATCTTTTAACCAGCCAGGACAAGACACGAAAAACATTAGATGATCTATCTATTTTTCCAAGACTCTTTAATTAAAAATTAGTGTTTTTAACACAGCCATGGCACTCTAGATTGAAACTTAAAATACAATTTTTTTGAAAGCGAAAATGTCAAAAAGAGAGTGAAGTAAAAATATACCGAGGGTGTCATTTAAAAATCAAAAGTTGTAGTCATTTCCGGTGAAACAGGAAGTGACCAAAAACAATTGAATACATCAATCCTAATTTATGTTATATACTAGCATACCAAATCTCATTTTTTTATTTGAAAAAATAAAAAAGTTATAGGGGTGAGCCACTTTTGAGACGCACCCTTTATATGCATTTAGTCTCAATATCATATTTTACTTTTTAGAAAATCAAATTACTCAAACTGGTCCAAATAAAAAAGATCAAGATTTGTCAGATAGTGAAGAAGAACAAAGACAATTAAGGGCTAGAGCTAGTAAACCAACTAGAGTTAGAATAAGGCAGGAAATGAATGGGAGAGATAAAGCTATGGAGAGTAGTTCTGAAAGTGAGGAAGAGGGCAGAAAATACTTGTTGAGAAATCGTCCTCCAAAACCGGCGCCCAAAAACAGTAAGTTTATTTGTTTTAACAATAAATAAAGTTTCTTACCATTTTTGTTTAAAGTGCAAACTTCAGTCTTAAGAAATGAACGTCGTGAATTAGCAAGTAGGAAGAGATATACTAGAAGACGCAGGAATTCTACAAGTTCTGATTCTTCCCTTAGTTCTTCAGACAGATGCCAGTAAGAAATAAAAATTAAACTATATATTTATGTATGATTTAAATTTGTTTCTATTTTTTTTTTTTCATTATTAGCAAAACAACACCAAAAAGTCCACACTCTAAAAACGAAAAAATGAAGTCTGGGGCTGGCGGTAGTAGCATTATACCAATAAAACCAGAAACTTTAGATCAGTCTGTAAGGTTTAATAGTATTGGCGGATTAGATTCTCATATTCAATGTTTAAAAGAGATGATTTTGCTTCCAATGATGTATCCAGAGGTTTTTCAAAGGTTTCAGGTAATTAGTATATTTTTTATAATGTCAGAAATAAACATTTTTGATAACATTTATTTTAGATTCAGCCACCCAGGGGTGTTTTATTCCATGGTCCACCTGGTACTGGTAAAACACTAATATCTAGAGCCTTAGCGAATGAATGTAGTTTTGGAACAAGGAAAGTGTCGTTTTTCATGAGAAAAGGAGCTGACTTATTAAGTAAATGGATTGGTGAATCCGAAAAACAACTTAGATTGCTTTTTGAAGAGGTAATTATGTGAAAATTTCAAGTACGGAAAATTAAAAGATTACTTATTATTTTAGGCAGCTAAAATGAAACCTTCAATAATATTTTTTGATGAATTAGATGGTTTAGCACCTGTTAGGTCATCCAGACAAGATCAGATCCATGCCAGTATAGTTTCTACACTTTTAGCATTAATGGATGGTTTGAATGATCGTGGTGAAGTTATTGTCATTGGAGCAACAAACAGGATTGATGCTATTGATCCAGCTTTAAGAAGACCTGGTAGATTTGATAGAGAATTATATTTCCCACTGCCATCTAAATTAGTAAGTTTGTTTTAAGTTTACAATAGATATTAATTTTTTGTAATGCACTTTTTTTATAGGAACGTGAAGAAATATTAAGGGTTCATATATCATGTTGGAACCAACCTCCCAGTGAAGAATTATTAGGATATTTGGCTGAGAATACTGTAGGATATTGTGGATCAGATTTGAGGGCTTTATGTTCGGAAGCGGTGATTCAAAGTTTTAGAAGGACATATCCTCAAGTCTATAATTCTGAATATAAGTTACTCTTAGATCCAGAGAATGTCAAGGTAATTAAACTTAATTTGGGAATTTAATTGGACTCGATAAGTCTGTAAATTATAATTTAATTATTTTCAGGTGGAAAAAGTAGATTTCATGAGAGCTAAGTCTATGATAACACCTGCATCTCATAGAGTGGTATCTGGTTTAGGAAAAAAATTGCTTCCAATCTTGGAACCCTTCCTGGCACCTATTCTTCAAAAAATAATGTATATTTTAGAACAAAATTTTCCACATGGATTTAACCCATCGTTATCTAAGTAAGTCATATATTTTTAGATTTATATTATTTGATTTAATATTACAGATATTGTTATCTGCAATATGCTCCCAAATCGTCTTTACAAGAACTAAAACTTTTTATTATCAATATTTTAGGAAAAATGCATTCTTTATAAAAATTGCCTTCTCTAAAATTGTTATTCAATCATCTTTATTGTTTAACACTAAAATCACTGAAACTTCCGCGACTAACAACGAAAACTGAAAAATATAACAGCAATTTTTGTTTTGAAGCTGCATATAAAATTACGCTGTATACCATTATGTTTTTGATTTTGAAATAATATAAAATATAACAGAATTGTCTAATTACTAATTATAACTTGTGATTTTTAATATTTTAACTATCTCTGACAATAACTAACTTTTTGTTATCAAGATGACATTCTAGACGGCAACTGACATATATGTCATAATATTTTAATTTTAAATATGTATGCAATATAATTTAAATTAATATGATGCATCTTTACTTTATGCTAACAAAACATTTATACATTCACAAAATACAACAAAACTTAATAATGTACTTTGAAAACAATGAAAACTAAATTAAAATTAAAAAAGTTAAGTGCGACCCCTTGTGTCAAAATTAGATGATTAAATTTTTGCAATTTTTAGACCATTTGTTAACAGGTGGCGCCTCTAGTGTTTGTTCGGATGGTCAGTCTTTTACTCCTGTTTATGGCCATTAAAGAAAAAGTTCTAAAGAGGGATGTTTTGTGAAGCAGATCAAAGAATGCAGACGAAATATTACCATAGAAAGGCGTTTCGATTTTTAGCACTTTTCAAAAATTTTTGTAAAACTTCAACTGTATTTTCCTTTGGTATTTTCCTATTTTTTGTTTTTCTCTTAAACATTATGGAAATTTGGAAAAATTGTATAAAGGGAATTAACCATTTTAAAGCAACCAAAATTTTTTATAAAGATACATTTTTCTCAACATGTTAATAATACAGAAGTTGTTCTTGTAAAAACTTTCATACATATTGTTACGGATTCCGTGGGTCCACTAATTTAAACTCACGATAAAATACTTAACGAATTTATTTTTCTCACTTTATACACAATTACTAACTTATAACACACAACAAACTAACTATTTATAAGATTCCTTCACCAAATTGTCCGATTTTCAATTTCCACGCGGTATATTCAAATTTCAAAAACTGTCTCAGTTGTCGATGGCTCCGGCTTATATACTCTATTGACTGCTTCTCGAAATTTCCCCAATTCTCGGAAAGCGTACTTCTTCATACCAGACAATTCTATTGTCTGATTCCCTTACTTCTCGACTTGACTAAAAGATGGCGCCTGAAAAAGTCTTTTAATTTCTGGCGGATACGTTGCGGTTGTGCAGGCAACCAGTAATACATCTTTAATTTCTGGCGGATGCGCCATTTTTCTTGACATTGCCCCTTCTCAAATTTGATCGTCCCGATCAAGGTTTCCTGTCTGGTATCTCTCAATCGATCCAGATGAACTACTTTCATCTTACTTCTAGGGCTGCGTTGAATCCGGTACACAACATCATTTATCCTCTTGATGACTGTATAAGGACCTTCCCATGCTGGAGTTAACTTTGGGGACCTCCCTTTCTTGCGCTGTGGGTTATATAACCATACCATATCGTCCTGTTGAAATCCCGTAGAATTAGCTCTGAGGTCGTAACGAGCTTTCATCCGGTCACTGGCTAGCGTAATCTTACTTCTCACGGCCTTATGAATTCCCAATAACCTTTCCTTCAGTTCATCCGCGTAGTCCTCTACGTTCGTGGTGCTGTCGTCTGGTGATCCGAACACCAAGTCACAAGGCAACCGTAATTCTCGACCAAATAAAATCTTCGATGGTGAAAGTCCGGTGGTGTTGTGAACTGCACTTCTATATGCCATTAGGAATAGTGGTATATGCTGATCCCAATCTCTTTGATGTTCATCCACCATTTTCGAGAGATGTTCTTCAATGGTCTTATTGAATCTCTCGACCATCCCATCAGACTGCGGATGTAAAGCTGTTGTCCTAGTCTTGTGAATACCAAGCAGATCACACATCTTCTGGAACAGTCTTGACTCGAAGTTCCTTCCTTGGTCAGTGTGAAGCTCTAAAGGAATTCCAAATCTACTGAAGACATTATGACTAATACTTCAGCTACAGTCGATGCTTCTTGGTTTGGAATGGCAAAAACTTCTGGCCATTTACTGAAATAATCCATCGCCACTAAAACGTACTTGTTGCCCTTGTGCGTTTCAGGGAATGGGCCTGCAATGTCAACAGCGATTCTTTCGAATGGCAGTCCAACGTTATATTGTTTCATTTTTCCCCTAGATCGAGTGCTTGGTCCTTGGCTGGCTGCACAAATTTTACATTGTCGACACCATTTCTTGACATCTTCGCAATAATCCACCCAGTAAAAGCGATCTCTCAGCTTGCTCAAGGTCTTGTTTACCCCAAGATGGGCTCCAGTTTTACCACCGTGAATTTCTTCCAATACCTGGGTAACTTTCTTCCTTGGTACCAGTAACTGAGTTGTTACTGTGCTGCCATCCGCACTTTCCCATGTGCGCTTTAACAATCCATTCTCAATAACCAGTGAATTCCACTGAGCCCAGAGAGCTTTGAAAACGAGCCCTCTGTCCGCAATATCCTGCCACGGTGGTCTCTCGCCGTTACCTTCCTTGAGCCGTAGTATTGCTCCGATGTCTGGATCTTCCATTTGATCTTTCCTCAATTGTGTCGTCGTCCACTGTTCATCGGTTCCAAGTTTAAAACTCCTTATCATGACAGTGCCTTCACGTTGTTCCGTTTTACAGCAGTGCTTACAATCGGTTTGACAGGGTCTTCTGGATAAACCGTCTGCGTTACCATGCATTTTTCCAGCACGATGTTGGATGGTAAAGTGATACTGTTGGAGCTTCTCGAGCCATCGTGCTATTTGACCTTCAGGTTGTTTCATCTCCATAAGCCACTTGAGAGCCGCATGATCTGTCCTAATTAAAAATTCTTGGCCGTACAGATATTTATGAAAATGATCAACTGCCTTCACAATTGCTAGCAGCTCCTTCCGGGTAACGCAGTAATTCCTTTCTGGTTTGGATAGAACTCGACTGTAATATTCTATCACTCGTTCTTCGCCATCTTGCACTTGTGATAGCACTGCACCTATGCCGATATTGCTGGCGTCGGTATCCAGGATATACCTCCCTTGTTGTTGCGGGTAGGCTAGAATAGGACTTGAACATAAAGCCGCCTTAAGTCTTCCAAAGGCTACATCACAATCGGTGTTCCATTCGTAGCCGACTTCATCACCTGTAAGTCTATGTAAGGGTGCAGCTATATTGGCAAATCCCTTGACAAATCTTCTGTAATAGGTGCATAAACCCAGGAAACTTCTAAGTTCATGTTTGTCGCGAGGTTTAGGCCAATCCTTAATTGCAGCGATTTTCTTCTGGTCGGTGTAAATTCCGTCTGCCGAAACTACATGACCCAAGAATTCCACTTGTCGCTGGAATAAGCTACACTTCTTCGGGTTCAAGTACAGGTGCGCATTCCTTATGCGGCCGAAGACTTCTTCTAAATTTTCGCAAATGCTCCTCAAAAGTTCTTCCCATAACCAATACATCGTCGAGGTAAACCAAGCACGTTTTCCAAGTTAATCCTCTTAACACCACCTCCATGAGACGTTCGAAAGTGGCTGGAGCATTGCATAATCCAAACGGCATGACCTTGAATTGGTATAGTCCGTTTCCTGTAGAAAAAGCCGTCTTTTCTTTGTCTTCCTCGTCCAGACCAACTTGCCAGTATCCACTCTTTAAGTCGAGAGTGGAGAACCAGCACGAACCTGCCAGTGTGGTTAACGTGTCGTCTATACGTGGCAGTGGGTAGCTGTCCTTCTTAGTGACGTCATTGAGCTTCCGATAGTCCACGCAGAATCGTGTACTACCATCTTTCTTCGTCACCAAAACAACAGGAGATGACCATGGACTCGATGATTCTTCGATAACTCCATCTTCTAGCATCTTATCTACCATTGTCTCCATTTCTTGTTGTTTGGAAAGGGGCACCCTTCTAGGACGTTGTCGAATCGGCTGAGCATGACCAGTATTAATCCGGTGCTTCACAAAATCCGTTCTTCCACTGTTGTTCTTCTCAAAATACTGCCATGCTTTAGCAGGAACTGCTTGGCCTTCTGTTTCTCCTCAGGTGTTAGGTGATCCCATGGCTGTTCTAGATGTTTTAGTGTTTCTTGGGATGCCTTTTGTGTAACAGCTGACGACACTTCATCACATCGGGTGACACTTCTTACAGGTTCGCAGATGGCTATCTTGTCACCTTTTCGGATCTTGACACAATTCGGGAAAACATTCGCAATTCTGATCGGTATATTCTTGTCGGTGTTCACCAATGATTTTCCTACTAAGTACCTATCTTGTTTCTTGTCGCTACTTTGTACCAGTCCAACACAGCACCCAGCGATTTTTTCTCCACTTTACCGAATACGATCTTCTCGGTATTACCAGGTATCACCACAGTTTCCGCTGATCTTACATCCATTCTTCCTGGTCCCTTGTCTGGAGATAACATAAACTCTTCATTTCCGATATTCAGATATTTCTCTGGTGATCGAACGAAAATCCATGTTGACGAATCACATCCATGCCCAAGATGAAGTCATCTTCAATATCTGCCACTAAAACGCTATGCTGGAACTTCAAATTTCCTAACTTCAGTTCGACGATAGCCTCTCCGTACAACGGCCATTTCCCCCGTAACTGTACGTAAACACACTCTTCTTCTCAGAGGCACCAGCTTCAATCCTTGCACTGAGTTAGCCCGCACCAACGAAACCATAGCGCCAGTGTCCACTGTCATTCGGATTCCCTTTCCATTGACTTTCCCGTCGATCACCAAACTGTCAGCGGTTCTTCCTAGATTTCTAATGGAAAAAATCCTTGGGGCTCTGTTCTCCCCAGTCAATACTCGCCCCTTAGTATTGACTGATTTTAGTTTTCCTGGTGCCTACGTTCTCTGGATGGTGAACGGGATCGCATTTGAACGCGGCAATACCGTTTAATGTGGCCATTCCTGCCACCTCTAAAGCACCTTATGTCCTGGAATCTTCTCTGGTTTTCTGTCTGGGTGTTGCTGACTCCCTTGTTTATTAGTAGCTCACATAGTTTGTCGACTTTCTTACACATCTCCTCCAAACCTCTGTGAGTGTTTTCGGGCTGTTCCTCGACCGCTACCGATCTTATCTTCGGTCTAGGGATGGCGCTAAAAGCAGCTTCGATTTCCAGCGCCCTGACCAGTGCTTCGCTGCTGGTAGAAAATCGGGATATTTGCAGCGCCCTCTCTAATTCGTTGTCCCTCAGTCCGCTGATAAAGCACTGAGCAGCGAGTTCCTCCCTAAATCCTTCCGGTGCTTCTGGATATGCCAGGTGTACCAGCCGACGTAAGTCTGCTTCAAATTCCTGCAGACTCTCTCCGGACCTCTGCAGGCGTGTCTTGATCTGGGCCTGGTAAAGTTGGCGTCGATGTTGGTCGCCATATCTTCTGTCCAGTGCAGCGACCAAAGTTTGGTATTCCTGCTGTTGGGCTTCTTTTAATTTCTGGCGGATACGTTGCGGTTGTGCAGGCAACCAGTAATACATCTTTAATTTCTGGCGGATGCGCCATTTTTCTTGACAATATTATGTACTTAACGTGATCACAGAATACCTTAGCTATAGAGAAGCGACAAATAAATGAAGGTTGAAACCATGGACATGGACCATGGCTTAATTCATCGATCGGGATTTTTTAGGCGGATTGTGTGTACTTTTTGGGGAGTAGTTTTAGGGGGAAAATTGTAACACCGTGCTCCTCGGCCCCAATGGCCAAAAACAGTTTTTCGCAAGTGATCGCGATCGCAGTTCAAGAGAAAAGCAACATAAAATAAATATAACCCATGTATGGTTAAACATTCGATCACATCGCATAGCTCGCATGTGACGCTTCCGCTTCGTGGGCGCTCTTAATCTTTTAACTTGTTATTTTATTATGGCTGTGTGACCCCAACTACGATGTTTGGTTTGGTTGTGATGACAGGTGGCGCCTCTAGTGTTTGTTCGGATGGTTAGTCTTTTACTCCTGTTTATGGCCATTAAAGAAAAAGTTCTAAAGAGGGATGTTTTGTGAAGCAGATCAAAGAATGCAGACGAAATATTACCATAGAAACGCGTTTCGATTTTTAGCACTTTTCAAAGATTTTTGTAAAACTTCAACTGTATTTTCCTTTGGTATTTTCCTATTTTTTGTTTTTCTCTTAAACATTATGGAAATTTGGAAAAATTGTATAAAGGGAATCAACCATTTTAAAGCAACCAAAATTTTTTATAAAGATACATTTTTCTCAACATGTTAATAATACAGAAGTTGTTCTTGTAAAAACTTTCATACATATTATGTACTTAATGTGATCACAGAATACCTTAGCTATAGAGAAGCGACAAATAAATGAAGGTTGAAACCATGGACATGGACCATGGCTTAATTCATCGATCGGGATTTTTTAGGCGGATTGTGTGTACTTTTTGGGGAGTAGTTTTAGGGGGAAAATTGTAACACCGTGCTCGGCCCCAATGGCCAAAAACAGTTTTTCGCAAGTGATCGCGATCGCAGTTCAAGAGAAAAGCAACATAAAATAAATATAACCCATGTATGGTTAAACATTCGATCACATCGCATAGCTCGCATGTGACGCTTCCGCTTCGAGGGCGCTCTTAATCTTTTAACTTGTTATTTTATTATGGCTGTGTGACCCCAACTACGATGTTCCATATAACTAAATTCCTTAAGATATTTAATTCTTATTTTATTTTACTGTATAAACCCACCAAAACTCACTTAAAATTTGGTTCATAAAGAATCGCCTGTGTCGCTTTTGTATAAATACTTATTTAGTTTAGGAATTAGATAATTCTGTGTTGTGAAATAATTTTATTAATATAAATATTAAGCATTTATTTTTTTTTATTTTTAGAGTAAAATTGTCAGCCAGTATAAGGCCAGCACAATTGATAATCACAGGAGATGGGCCTGATCATGGTCAAACTAATCACATTGCTCCAGCTATTTTGTTTAGAATGGAACATATTCATTCCTATATTTTGGATATTGCCACTCTTTTTAAGGAACCAGGTCGAAGCCCAGAAGATGCGTGTATACAGGTAAATCATAAAATCCCAATTTTTAATTTTGTTCTGATATTTTTAACTACACATTGTATGTTGTATATTATATCTGTTTTAATATTAATATTACCAATTTCAGGTATTCACTGAAGCAAAAAGAAATGTTCCCAGTATTATTTATATTCCAAATATTGATACTTGGTGGGAACTAACATCTGAAACGACTCGTGCTATTTTGCTGTCACAATTAGCTGCTATTGATCCAAATATTCCTCTTCTGTTTTTGACGACTTCTATCAATACTTATAATGATCTTCCTACTCAGGTATGTTGAACTCTTATAACACATATTGTTAATTATATCAGTAATATAACCTTAAATGACAGTAGGGTGCAGTACGGCTAGTTTAACGGTATTTGTTTCTCGATCATACAGATATATTGTTCTAATGATTTTTCTGTAGATATTAAAGATTAAGCAATGATTAATTATAAAATAAGTCTTCTTGGACTGACACTGTCTGTGTGAGCTGAAAGACTGTTGGAGATAATTATTTATTCAACTCTTATTTTCTGTTTATATGGAAAACCTGAAACCATCCCATTGACTTGAAATATTTTAAAAAAGATTATATAAATCTTTGGTCAAATCCTACTTAAAAAATACCGATTTGCTTATATTTTGATTGTATAGAGGGTGTTTCGATAAACGTGCCACCTCTCGTGGGGAGATTCGTCAAATCTTATTTTTAAGTGAGGAATCTCCCACATGAGAGATAGCACATTTTTTTGAAACACCCTCTATGTTGGGTTATAATAAATCAATGTGCATGGTTAGCCTATTCTTTATATAAACGTTTAAGTATGAAACGATATAACACGCGTATAACGTCATGTTGCGAAAGTAGAATGCACTTTTTCTCGATTTCAAGGTCCATACTAAGATAACAAACATTTTCAAATTTAAAATTATCTTTTAATTGTGATAAAAAAAGATGAGTCGGGACCTAGTGTGCTTCAATATGACTTTTTTCCAGTTGCAAGACATATTTTCTCCTTATCGTCAAGAAATATTCGAAATTAAACCGTCCAATCACGAAACGCGACGCCTGTTTTTCAAACCACTGCTTATCGGTATCAGTCTTCAACCGCCTCGACCAACGAGGGAACGCCCCAAAAGTCCCCCGCCTCTACCTAGGGCTCCCACGCCCCCACCTCCTCCTATAAGTGAAGAACAAGCTCAAAAACTTTACGAAACTGAAGAGCATACTCTGAGGGAACTGAGGATATTTTTGAGAGATATGTGTAAAAAGCTCGCTAACAATAAATTGTAAGTATAATGATTATTTTTCAATTTATATTATTACTTTTAAAAGTTGTCTTTATCTACCTTTTTTCACTTACTCGTATTCTTCCATTTCTCTGGCTTCTGGTAGGATACTAATTTTAAAATGGTGTTCGTTACTATCATTTTTTGCCAGCATTGTAGATTTCTTTGATGCAGAAATTCGAAAGAACGAACGAAACGAACGACACAAAACAAAAATTGACAAGTTTTGGCATCTTTATATTTTGTGACAGTTGTTTCTGTCATTTTAATTTACAATTAAATTGTATTTCTGTCGGTTTTTTTTTATATTGTCTGTCGGAATCCTCCCTAACTCGTGCTCTATGTATAGACTATATTGTACCTGTTTTTTGATTATTAATGTGGTTGTAAATAAAATAGTATACAAACCTCGAAAGAAAGTTTTCATTACTGTCTCGAGATTGTGTTAATCTCTTGATAGTTCATGAAACATTTTCCTACACAGTACTACAGTAGGTAATATACTATTATTAAACATATATATTTTGCCTTTCAATACTAGTCGCTGGAACACAGGTTGTCTATAATTTACAGGTTGTAAATGAAAAGTGGGAAAAAACTTAGGTGATTTATTTTAATAATAAGGGGCGTTTTTATGTAAAATTTTTCGATTTAACGTGTCCTTAAATTCTTTAAACAAAATCGCAATAAGTAAGATGTAGTTTTTATTTTTTTTTAGGTTTTTTATGTTTACTAAGCCTGTAGATACAGAAGAAGTACCTGATTATACTGAAATTATTAAGCAACCTATGGATCTGGAAACCATGATGACCAAAGTGGATTTCCATCGTTACGAATGTGCCAAAGACTTTCTTACAGATATTGACTTAATTTGTCAGAATGCTTTAGAATATAATCCTGCCAGGTATCATAAAAATAGTGTTAGTTATAAATTTCGTATATATTTTATATATATTTTTTTAGAACTTCTGTAGATAAACAGATTAGACATAGGGCTTGTTCTTTAAGAGACTATGCTTATACATTAATCAAGACTGAGATGGATAGCGACTTTGAAGATAAATGTCAAGATATTAAAGTAAGAAGGAAACAAAGAAATGCATGCGTTTCGAAATATCTTCCAGCTTATATTATAACGCCAGGTAAACTACATTTATAAACGAAATGATATAGAAATGAGTAGAAATTAATATATTTTTTTACAGATGGAATGAACTTAGAAGTTGATGCAGAAAATAGGCCGAATGTGGTTGATACAGGAAGGCCCAAAGTTAACGGAAAAGTAATGGAGAGAAACCGAATCAGTCCAATGAGAAAACGCAAGTTCAGTTGGCAGCATGGTTATCTGAAGAAAAAGAAGAAGCCCAAACTAGATATTTCCCAAAGCATCAGTAACAAACCTGTAAGTTTAGTAATAGTAGTTAATAATTAGTCATCAGATTATATGCACTATCAAATGTCAAAAAATGTATGCATCAATATCAGAATACTATTTGTTATCATATTTTATATTATTTATTTTCACCATAATCCGTATGATCGCTAAAAAACGGGGTCTAGTTGGCTTGAAATTGACGATCAATGACGTCCACCATTTGCATAAGTAAATATTCAAATGTATCTAATCCGACATATAGTATACAGGGTGTTCCAGGCTGAACGTGCAAGTTTCTAAAGAACTACAATATCTAGATCGGAGATTTTTTGCACATCATTGTTTTACGAGATATATCGACTGAAAATAATATGGCGACTTCCGGGAATACCGGAAATTGACAGCAACTTTCTTATTTTAAATGGGTGTCCCTATTTTTTATTTAATACTTAAATTCACGCAATACCTACCTAACAATCGTTTTTGAGAAAAAAAATTATTTAAAATTTTTAGAGGAAAAAAACTGTCAAAAAAATGTGTATAGTCTAAACGTCAAATTTAGTTATTACTACAACCACTGTACCACAAAGAGAAGACATGTAGCTATCTATTTTAAAGATTAAATTATTCACATGTCATATAATATTGGCCGTATTTGTTTCAAATGATAACCCACTTTTTTATTTCGCTAGTGAAAAGTTTTTTCAATTTGTTACTTTTTGATTATACATGTTCCTGTACCTAAAATAAATCGTTTTTAAGATATTTAAGATATAGTTTTAAAACATTAATATACATAGTTTTTTATATATTTTTTCTTGATTTTAACCAATAGCCTATGACTTTAAACATCAAGTGATGTAAAAATATATGTATCTGGCCATATATTATGACATTGTTGAAAAATCAGTATGTCATCAATTGTCATTTCCAAGCCAAAACTATACGCCGTTTTTTTTTTTCGATTTGTACGGTTAATTATCAATAATAATATCAGCTATTAGATATTCTAAAGAGCGAAAATGCAAGATATATTTTTATAAATACACTTCATAAACTCTTAAGCAGGCAGTATTTATAATATACAAAATTCAAATAATTCGTTTTCTGAGAATTGGAAATAAATTGTCCGATTATTTGACAGTTAATGTCAAAGAAAGCTAGATAAACGATTTATTTTAGGTATAAGAATATGTATGATCAAAAAGTAACAAATTGAAAAGCCTTTTCACTAGTGAAATAAAAAAAGTGGGTTTCAATTTGAAAAAGGAGTATTTATGATAAATTTTTAATTGCTTAATTCCATGACAGTTACGGCCATTATTATATGACATTCGAGGACTATATGACACTTGATTCTAGGTTTTGCTGTTCTAGGTTAAACTCTGTTTCCAACTAGAAATGTTTATCCTTTTGTCTACCCCATCGCCGGACATACTGTATATATAAAATTTCGAAAAAAGTCTAAGAGAAAAGTTGTTCAGAAGTTAATGATCTGTGTTCAAGTTTCATTAATATACTACTATTTTCTTATATTTTTTGAAAGTTTTATGAAAAATCGTATTTTTAGCTAAAATTACACAAAACAAAGTAAATCTAAGAAGAATAATTCCTAATACAATCATTTTCTTTACTGTCCTTTCTACAGGCCTTATTCTATAAAACGGTATATAATTGTCGGGTTAAATTCCGCGCGACTGAGGAAATGTTTACTTGTTGATGTCATTTTGGTACTCTTGAAATTACTTTCTTCTTAAAAATACTATTTAGAGTAGTAAAATTAATTAGTTCTCAAATTAATTTCTTTGTTAGTTTGAAAATTAACATATATTTAGTGTTTTAGAATTTATAGCAGTTGTTGCAAATTTTTTGGTACCCTCTGTATATATTCTCATTGATAACAATTCATTTACATAAATCTTGATATAAATATTTTCAGAAAGAAAAAAATTCAAGTGATGAGTCCAAAGAAAACGATCCCGACAGCAGTACTGTAGAGGTACAACCTAAATCTAAACTGCCCGAAAGTGATAATAGTAGAACTTCTGATGTAACTACTGCCCTAAGCATAAACTGTGATATTCCGAAGACAGATCTTCCATGTAATTCGGCCAGGTGAATATTTACTATAGTTATCACTGACTATCAGTAATCTGATTTTTTTTCATTGTAGATCTCCTACGAGAAGGCTATCAGACTTAATGAGTCCATCCGAACTTTTAGATAGTCCTTTATATTTTGATGACGTAGATCAAGCCTTAAATGAAAATGGTAAGTTTATATTGTACAGCTTCTTCTAATAAGGCGCTGGATATCAGACCTGAGACCATGGCTATGGAGAGACAATGGGATACTGACCTGCTGCTTGGTGCAGTTTCTGAGCGGACATGGTACGTTCGCTGCCTACAGGCATCGCATCGGAAAAGCTGCCTCTCCTCACTGCGGAGCTTGTGGCGATGTAGAGGATGCCGGGCACGTACTATTGGAATGCGACCGACATGCGGCACTGAAAACTGAGACGGAAGCCATCACAGGACCTCTGACTGAGGGAAGCCTCATCACGGTTATGCTGCGTGATGAGCACTGTTAGAAGGCTGTTGACCAGCTGTGTCTCGACATTCTTATTGAAGTCGACGAGGTAGTGGCCGCAAGACGTAATAGAACTATGTAAATTGTCCTGCATGGGCCCCTGTCAGTGATAATCGATTCTGTGATAATCAAGATTAAGTTTAAGCGAGCTACTAGAGCGATTCAACGTCGACGGAGTGACTAGTAAAGGTAGGAGTGGATGCATCCGTATTCCTCACGGCGATCGACATCCACACCTAGCATAGGAGAGGGGTTTAGTGGGTATTCTGCGGCTAGTATAGCATTGTTGCATCGAGCCCCACACTTCGGCGGTAAATCGCTTCCCCTCTTCTCTAACAAAAAAAAGCTTCTTCTAGTAAGACAATACAATACTCTAATATCAGAGCTAATACATTACTTTTAGTAAAACATTTCTATCTACTTACATTACTTCATTTTCCACTTTTTAACCCTACTTATATTTGATACCAATTAAACTTTTAGTTACGTAAGCGATGGTGCTTGGATTGTTCATTCTTAAATTGGTGGATTTTTAAATTCATTGTTGCCAACCATCGACATAAGCCGCGGCGCGCCGGCGCCGGGCTGACTAACTGGAATTTAAATTTCCCGCTGAGGATTCAGGTAGTAGCTCTGCTGTAAAAAATGTCAAGTTGCCGCATTTATTTATTTATTTCCTGACATTGTCATTCGGTTTTGACACTTTAGCTTTATATTAAGAGTTTTTGGTTTAAATAGTGTTGTGATACTTTAAGCTTAAAAATGTTTACTAGCAGACATTGCAGTGGGACATTGTTCTTTTTGAAACCTCTTGCGAAGTGTACAAGATAGGTTAATAGCCGTAAAAAACTAATCGCAACTTTATTAGAATATTTTGAACGGAAACGCGGTAGTAATGGCTCTTTATGTCACTTAAGTGCCGTTAAGAAGGTGACTTTTGTGGATGTAAATAACTGTTTTTGTTTCCTAAAATATTTTGATTAAAAGAAAATATGTAAAAGTAAAAGTGAGCAACACTGTGCCGTTCAAGCTTAATCTCATGACTAAAAGTTTATTTGATATGAACAATATTTTGCATCTATGTTTATTTATTTAAATTGTAAATGGGGATTAAATCAAATCTTAAACCTATAATATAATACATAGAAGTATTTCTTTATATTTTCTTTTTGTTTCAGCAAGTAGTAATACGGTTGTTAAAGTGGATTGTTCTCAAATAGAGCTAGAAAAGGTTTTAGACCAAACTGTGAAGTATACAGAAGGATTTTCCTTATCTGATCTGCTTGATTTATATAATCAGTTCAATAATATCATTAAAAAATTTTCCAAGAATACTGTAAGACACAATTTACCTAAGGTATGCGTTTTTCTGTTGTTTTTGTTTTAGTTGTTTAGTTAACAATATTATAAATTATTTGTTTTAGGAACTCACCAAAGAACTACTTCGGTTTAAAAAAGCTGCAAATAACGAGGTGCGAACCTCCATAACAACTACAAGATAAATTTTGTCATAATATTTTCTGCACTGCCTTTTACTTTTCTTATATTTTTATCAGTATTTATGTTTTGTATAGTACTTAATATATTTATAAATAATTTAGTTTATATTTTCTACATTGAACAACTCAGTGTTTATTAAAATATTCAATTTCTATATAACTTGTTGGCATGGAATAAATATGGAAATTGCTCAGTTTGTCTTGTAACTTTAGGCGTTGAAACTAAAAAATTACACAAAAAAATATAAATGTACCCTCTTTCGCTGGGCCAATAATAAATGTTTCCCTCAATATAAATGTGTAAAAGTTTTCGTTTATTTTATTCTACAGAGTGTGCTAAGTTTGCAACAAATGTGATTTTTTTATTGGGTTAGAAAACTCAATATACAGAATGTTAGCATGTTCAATAACAAAAAAAAATTGACATTATGTAACAACTCTCATTGGCAAATTGCAAAAGTCCTTTTTACAAATTATGCTGAAAGTGAGATTAGGTAACAAAATATGAAAAAAAGTCAAAGATAGAAGTTGTCAGCATATGTCAAAATTATATGTTCCTGAGCCATTCTGCAAATATTTTGCATAAACCCTTCTTTATTATAAAATCTCAATTGTTGTGAACTTTTTGACCCGCCTTTTATGCTAAATAAGAATTACGTGGTCTTAAGTGCCTTTTGTTAAAAGTTAGTAACTATTTAGTTTTCAACAACAAAAATATATACAAAAAGTATATTATATGCTAGAAAAATTTTAAGTTATTTAATTTTTTAAATTAGTATATTTTTTAATATACGTCTGTAGTTATTTTCTTGTTATTTTAAGTTGAAAACAATTGTGTTCAACGCTTGATGCGTTTAAAACTGCCTAAAATTAATTAGGATTTTAAAATTTAATTATATTCTTTCGTTTTGTAGAAATAAAAAATTCTCAAAATAAGCATTTATTTATACCACGTTTTTTGGATTATTCGTATATATTTTGACTCTAAACTGTAAGCATTATTTTACATCTAATCTTAAAAATAAATTTCAGAAATTATAAATCATTTTTAAAATATCTTTTTTTAATAAACTCGTGTTTTAATATAATCCAAAAATTAGTAGTACATGTTTTAATGCTCATTGGGTACAGGTTGAATGTTAAAATAAACAAATATTTTCTCTTTTAATTCTAGTTTTATTTAATAATATATCTAATTTAAATTGTTTGAAAAGTGACATAAATTTGGCAAAATATTCGACATGACTTGCTTTGCTCCAAGTAACTATAATATATTTGTTACAGCTAATCAAAAATAAAAATAGTAAACATCTGTATATTTTTTAAAATTTTGAAATAACAATATCACAATTTTCTTGTAAAAAAAATTACAAACAATAACTTAAGTAAATTAAATTTATAAAAGTCTAATCTACAAATCTTAATCTTACATATCATCTAAATAAATCTACTTATTCACTTTGTTAAACCATTCGTTGTAATGGTGTGTTATATTGGTTCAATTGAAGAGTATTTTCAAAATATATTTAAGGATTGTAGATCAAATTAAATTGTACTATACAAATACAATAAAATATCAAGCAATCTACAATTTCAACTAAGAACAAATTTATCAATAAATAAACATACCTACATTACCCAATAATTTTCAGTTAAAATAAATATGAAAATAAAAATAGCTAATTTTAATGTATCAAATTTTTTAAGTTGTGTTATTAGTTATATACCCTTTCACTTCTATATTTATAGTTTCTCAACCTGAAGAAACAATCAGGTATATACTATATTTATAAAAAAAGATGTTTAAAACAATACCTTAAAACATTATTTCTAAATTTTGATTAAAAAATCTTTATGTACTCTTCACATGAATGTTACATTCGCTTACATACTTTTTGCAAATTTGCACTATATGGTTTATATATCTACATCTTTTTGTATAATATTTATTGCATTAAAAAAATGTCATGGAATGTTGAATGAGATCATGAAATTTCTAAGATATTTCAAATACTATAAGGCATAGGATAAAGTACAAATTTACTTACACAGTGGAGTGCAAACTATCATAGGCCCTAACTTTTTCAGGTATAGCAGCTGCTTCTAAAGGTACTCTTGTCAGTAGCTCTCTTAAGCATCCAACAAATGATATTTTTTTATAAAATTTTGAACTGAAAAAAATTTTGTTAGAAAGGCCCAATATAATAGAAGTTAAACATAAACTATTAAATTTCTAGAGTACTCAATCAATAAAATTTTACTAATTTAAGGGTACGTATTTGTAAAATGATCATATATTAATATACTTACCTAATAAAAGGTTTTGACATATACAACATTGTCTTAATCCATAATGTAGGATGTACAACATAAAGATGGCTCAGATTTTTTCTCAATTTCCGTCCAACCATCTGATAGCATCTCTTTAACCATGAAAAAGATGGTAATCTAGTGGCAGCTCCGTGAAGATAAACCAGGACATAGTCATCAGTAACCAGACGTTCTAGTGTCCATAAAACATAACTAAAAAAAACTTGTAACAAAAAATACAATAAAATATATGTAAATACTTACAGGAACAAGTTATCCATTACATAATCATAATCAACCCTTGATTTATCTGGTAAGTGGCAAGCTGCAAATAAAACTATAGCAGTATGCCCGCCGGCCCTTAAATACCCCCCATGGGACAATACTCTTTTATATGGTTCAATAACTCTCATATCAATTGTTCTATGCTCCCCACCAGGTAATATCATCCTTTGCCAGTTACGTGCGTGACGTCTTTCTTCAACTGCACTTAAAGGCTCAATTGGTTCAGAAGAATTATTATCTACAAAAAAAGCACTTGTGTAAATTAACAATAAAGGTAAATAATATTGTCAAAGGAATAATAAATAGTTGATCATATTTAGACTCCTTACCTTCTTCTGTATCACCTTTTCTCTTATCCGATTCTTCATCAAATATATCTGACTTTAAACTTTCATCTGAATTACTATCTAATGAAGACAGATCACTATCGTGACTATCTTGTCTTTGCTCAAGCCTTATGCGCCTTAATTTATTGCTTTTCTTACTATGTGCCAAAAAATTTAAATTTCCTAAAGTAAAAAATTAAAACTTCCATTTTTATAGCATAAGAAAGTGACGTACCTTCTTTTTCATTCATGGTAAGGGAAACATTTTGTAAATTCGAGCTTAAATGTGCTTCATAAACAGATTTATCATTTTCAGTGTCACTAGTTGGATCGTAAGCAATCTCCACAGGTAAATCATACATTAGCAATTTTTTTAAAGCAGATGGACTCTTAGGGAAATCTGAAGAATAAGAATATTGAATATTCTAAATAAAAGGTTTGAAAACAAGTTAATTTAAGTATTTTTTTACCTGGTAATTTTTCATCATATTCAAGTATTGGCATGTTTAGTTGTCTTTCAAAAGAGTCAGATAAATCAGTACTAGTTTCTAAAGCAGTGCTGTGAGCCTCAGGATGGAACCTATTTTCTTTATGTTTATTTTTTGCTTGTTCAGGTATCAGATCTGGATAATCAGGTGACATTGAAGATCCAGGAGAGTTCATTAAAGGATGAGAATTCGTTGCATTTTCCGTTAAAGGCAGGCGATTGCTTATTGCAAATTCGGATTTCTTATTTGCTGCTTGTGAACTTTCAGATTTAAATGTAGGGCACTGTTCCATAGTGTAATTGCACTTTAATAACAACTTGCTTAAAAGAAATTTTATTTATTATCGTTTTTCGTCATGGATTTATTTGTCTTCCCAGCCTTATTTTTTCATTATTACAATCAGAATTACAATTTTTTTATTCTATTGCAAATTATTTACTGTTTTTAACGCTGTTTTAACACAACACAAAACAAACGAACTGTCAACAGAGTAGTCATGTGTCATTTACATTTCAGAAAAGCTGAAGTGAAAAATACACAAGATCTTCGATATCGTGTTTGAAAGACAGAGAAAAAAAATAGACACGATCACGATAATCAATCTAAAATCTGGGAGCTGGGTAAGGATACTATGGTAAAACGTATTTGCTATACACTATATTCTTATTTTATTATTTAGAGATTATATTATTTTAGAGATTATATATATTTATTATTTAGAGATAAGGATAGTTCGATTCGTATCTTCCTGCACTGTCAGTTTTTTTACGTCATCTGGGGACCGAGTTGAAGTTGGCGCTAAAGATTTTAGTTGGATTTTAGACAATGACAGTTATTTTTGCATTTGACATACATTTGACGGACGAGCGCACAGTGCGTTGGAAGATAAATTTAGCGGGACAAAAGCGTTTGGTTAGAAATAAGCCAAAAAATGTGTACTGTAAGAATAAATAGTAGACATTCCAATTGATATAAAAATGCATGAATACTCTTTGTATTTCGATACATTTTTATCAACCAAATTTGGTCGTTTTCTGCTCAGCAAGGCAGAGATCATACGAAAACAAAATATTTACAAGTGCTTATACATTTTATTCCAAAGCCAAATTATGTTGAAGATTGCCAAAGCTATGTACTTTTCTACTGTACGTATATTATTTGTTAAAATCCTTCGTGCCTTTGTTCTGCAGATATAAAACTTTCACTTTTTTTCAAATATCGATATATTGAATGATGTAGATCTTTTGAGTTACCGATAGTTACCAACACAGGTAGTTACAGTCACAGGGAGTTCAAGCTTAACAGGTGAATGCCCAAAAAGTTTCATTTCAATCGGATAGTATAAAAACAAAACAACTCCATCCAAAGGCACTGAGTTTAAAAAATTGTCTTAGATACTTACTATATATGAATTTACAACCGAGTGTTAAAATTAAAATTAAAATATCTATCTTAATTATTATTTTTAAAATAAAATATAATTTTTTAAAATAAAATATAGAGGGTGTCACAAGATTACAAAGTAATTAAAAAATAACTGCTAAAGAGTTTATTGTAAGTATTTCACCTGATATCATAATTTTATGTATTTAGCAATAGTTTACAATACGGTTTTTGTGTGTCATGCACGAATAATATCATAGTTTTATTATCTTGTATTTATTTATTAATAAATTAAGTTGTTGATAAATAAATAAATTTAACCATATAGTTGCTATACAGGGTGCTACAAATTGAGGTACGAGCATTGGTATCTCGGAAACCGTAAGAGATACGAAGATGGTTAAATTGGGGCAAAGTTGCGCTTTAGGATGTTCACCAAGATGCCAACAAAAAAGTTTTAAAATTTCAAGGATTGCTGAGTTTTTTGGAAAAAACGGATTTTTTTGAAAATCACTTTTATTTTTCCTGGCGTTACTTTTAAAAAATCAAAAAACTGTTTGCACATTCTCATGGCTACTTTATTAGGGCTATCTGATAGTATTTTTAGATTTTCAAATTAGCTGATAATTTGTGAGATACAGAGGCCAACTTCATTTTTTTAAATACGGACCTGCATTTTTTATTTGAAGTTTTGAAAGGACTCGATCTCCTGAGTACAATAGTATGCCACACTTGATGCTTTATTTTGTTTAAGGTACCTTAACAATAACAAAACTATTTAATTATTATTTAATATAATTTCAAGTCCCACTCTGTTTTTTAAATTATTTAATCTGATTATATACATCACACCAATATGGATCAGCGCTAATTAACATTGAATCGAGCCAAATGAAAGAGCAATTTAAAAATATAATTTATAACTTTTTTTATTATGATTTTGAAATCTCAGTGTACGATCTAATAATATGCATAATATTAATCGTAGTTATTATAAATAAGTCAACTTCTACAAACTAGTTTCTAAAACTAGTAATGCTCTACACTTTCGAAAGGGTTATCACCGTCCCTAATGCACAAGTTAATGTATTTTTCTTTAAATCTTATTTATAGCTCTTTGAACATCTTCTTCTTATACTTCCGAATGCATTCTGTACTCTTTATTGTAATTTTGAAATGTATTTCATCAAGTAATGCCCAATAATTTTATATTATTTTTAATATTTAATTGCATTTGATTATCCGTATTCAATGTTTTACTCCACGTCATTGGTTAGTTTGAAAGCTTACCAATATTGTAACGATGAATAGATTAAATATTAAAAAAAAACAGAGCCGGACTTGAAATTAGTTTAATTAAATTGTGTTCAAATGTCACAAACAAAAATATTAAGTGTGGCATATCATTGTACTCAGGAGATCGAGTTCTTTCAAAACTTCAAATAAAAAATGCAGGTCCGTATTTAAAAAAATTAAGTTGACCTCTGTATCTCACAAATTATCAGCTAATTTGAAAATCTAAAAATACTATCAGGTAGCCCTAATAAAGTAGCCATGAGAATGTGCAATTAGTTTTTTGATTTTCTAAAAAGTAACGCCAGGAAAAAATAAAATTGATTTAAATAAAAAATCCTTTTTTTTCCAAAAAACTCAGCAATCCTTGAAATTTTTAAAACTTTTTTGATGGTATCTGGGTGAACATCCTAAAGCGCAACTTTGCCCCAATTTAACCATCTTCGTATCTCTTACGATTTCCGAGATACCAATGCTCGTACCTCGAATTTGTAGTACCCTGTATATTAGACCATTTGCTACGTTCTTAGATTTTAAGTCCCAAACCACCCAAACATTGCTCTTGAGATTTTGACCCGCTAGAATAACCATCCGCCGCACTGTGGAGCGCTGGTCCCAGAGAAATGGAAGTGGTTTGGTTTGGTTTGGTTGCGATTTCTATATATTTCTTCTGTTTTTTGAAATCAAACATCAAACCTATATTGGGTATTTATACTTTAGATGGTCTATATTTACTTTGCTATAAATACATCGAAACCTTAAATCATACATGGTGTTCAAAATTCTACGCCAAACTTTCTAAAATATAAAATATTTTTTTTTTAATTTTTTTAAAATAGAACACCGGATATTCTGGATATATTATTTTTTTATTAGACGGAGAATTAAAAAATAAACATTTTTTGTATTTAGAGTATTTCAAAAACTTTTACACCCCCCTCCCACCGTTTTCCTATAATATATAGATACTCCCGGTATTATCTCATATGGCTCTTTCAACGGTAAAATACGAGAGAAAAACTATTGGGCGGCTTTGAAAAAAATTTACTGTAGAAAATGCCATATGAAATATATTATCAGAGATATTATATATAAAACCGCGAATATCTGTATGATCGCTGTCATTTCTTATATTATGTAAAATTATATGGGGAATAATGTCATCGATCGTCATTTCCAAGCCAAATGGACGCCGTTTTTATTTCGATCATACGGTATGTAGTAGGTAATACCACTTAACTTTATTAATAAAAAATCCTAACGATTATAAATGCTTATTTTAATTTAAGGAGGAAAATAATATATTGAAATAATAATTTTTAATATTCCTACAACTTTTCAATGACAATTAAATATATACCTAGTATGACATAGGTATCTAAAGAGGGTAGTAGGAAGGTCATTTGTAATTCTTAATTCTATTATTATTAGTTGAATAGAAAATCACTGCTAATAGGCATATTAAGATAATTTAAAACATATTCAATAGCAGTTTTCAATTTACTGAAATTATATCTTAATTATTGTATACCTATACTTCGTCCTAAAAAATACCGTATGATCGAAAAAACGGCGTCCAGTTCTTGGAAATGGACATCAATGAGGATATTGCGTGCGTACCTCAAAATATCTGTGCAAATTTTCCTGAGACCAATATCGCACTTATGTAGGGTTATGACGACTCAATAAATGAAAACTTAATTCGTCGGTGAAAACTATACGCCGAATAAAGTTTTCATCTAAATTGGCCTTTTCCATTACAGATTCACAAAACGCCATACGCCGAAATTGGTCTTCATGGAAAATTTCCTGAGTTTTGTGCGCTTTATGCGATCGGTATCCATTCTTTTAAGGACTCTTTTAAGCGTGCTAGGTGAAGAATATGTTACCTCAGCAATTTGATTACTTGAAAACGTGGGATTTTGATCCGCGGTAGCACAAATGAACACTTGCTTTAACTCCTGTTCTTCATTAATCAACATCAGGCTTTTTGTGTTTTTGTGGGGACACGCACTCATGTGTTTCAAAATTATTAATAACTCTTGATATAGTAGGTAAAGATGGAATTGGCCTGTTTACAAAAGTTTGTGGAAAAATTGTTTGTATATCCCGATAAGACCTATTTTGGAAATACCATTTTACAATTTGAATTTTCTCACGAACTTCGTAAACATCCATTATTTTACTTAGAAAATAAATTTTACACGAGAGCTGTCGCGAGAATCTATGAATTCGTTTTGGCTATTAAAACACGAATAAATACAAATTCAGAAACATTCTTATCACATATCTATAAATACCTATTTTTATTTTATCGCATTTTTTCGCTTGCTTTTTATCCGGCGGACGGGTATACGCTAATCGTCCGGTTTTGCCAAAGACATTATAAAGATAAACCGAACATCTCATTCATAAATACTCGTTGGTAGTGTATCAAACATTCCAATGTGTCAAACAAGGACAGAAGAGACAGAGAAGTCTAAAATTTCCGACCCCGGCAACTAGGCGCATTTGGATTGTTCTAATGGCCAGTGGCGTATCGTTTTTTTGGAACGAATTTAATTAGTAAAGTAAAAGTAAAGTAATTAGTAAAATTTTTACTCCATATTAATATACTACATTAACACTTTTTCGTTAGATGAGTTTTGTTATAAGGTCTAATATAATAATATAATTAATATCCCACATATACTTATGTTGAAACGTTAGTAGGTAGTTTTCGAACATCGCTCCAACGTCGATATTCAATTTAAACTTTCAGTTACTTCTATATAAACTTTCAGTTACTTTTGAATATTTACAGGGTGACTCAGGCTTCCGAAACAGTTCTATATTAGGTTTGTGGTTGGTTACTTTTCTTTCAATTTTTTTTAGAATATGGAGTCAATGGTAAAGCACATTTTAGACATTTTTGTAATCATAGGTGGCCGGAACATATTTTCAA